TCTCCTCATCCACATACTAACCAAAGCTGGTGTATTCTGTTCCTCTCATCATCCACATACTAACCAAAGCTGGTGTATTCTGTTCCTCTCATCATCCACATACTAACCAAAGCTGGTATATTCTGTTCCTCTCCTCATCCACATACTAACCAAAGCTGGTGTATTCTGTTCCTCTCCTCATCCACATACTAACCAAAGCTGGTGTATTCTGTTCCTCTCATCATCCACATACTAACCAAAGCTGGTGTATTCTGTTCCTCTCATCATCCACATACTAACCAAAGCTGGTATATTCTGTTCCTCTCCTCATCCACATACTAACCAAAGCTGGTGTATTCTGTTCCTCTCCTCATCCACATACTAACCAAAGCTGGTATATTCTGTTCCTCTCATCATCCACATACTAACCAAAGCTGGTGTATTCTGTTCCTCTCATCATCCACATACTAACCAAAGCTGGTATATTCTGTTCCTCTCATCATCCACATACTAACCAAAGCTGGTGTATTCTGTTCCTCTCATCATCCACATACTAACCAAAGCTGGTGTATTCTGTTCCTCTCCTCATCCACATACTAACCAAAGCTGGTATATTCTGTTCCTCTCCTCATCCACATACTAACCAAAGCTGGTGTATTCTGTTCCTCTCCTCATCCACATACTAGCCAATGCTGACATATTTGTACACCTCTCCTCATCGACATACTAACCAATGCCGACATATTTGTACACCTCTCCTCATCGACATACTAACCAATGCTGACATATTTGTACACCTCTCCTCATCGACATACTAACCAATGCTGACATATTTGTACACCTCTCCTCAATGACATACTAACCAATGCTGACATGATGAAGATGCTGATCAGTACAATACAAATCACTACAAATATTCTGATGTACTCGTCTACTAAATGTGAAAATGTATGTAAACATTTGTATGCATAGTAATAAGGTTTCCAGAGCTTCAATATATTTTCATGGAAGAAGTCCTAGGGAGCTTGAATCGCTTTCATGGAGACAAAAATAATGACAAATAAATAGTGCCTTTTTTGACCTGTGTTAATGATTCTTCAGGAAATGGTGAACGTTTTAACACACTAGTATCTCAATGATGTTGTAAACAATCTTCAAGGTCATGGACAATCATCCATCCAAACAGAGTGGTATCTCGAACCTCTGAAGTTGCTGCTTAAAATGAAGCTGCTTTATATTGCTTTGTAGGATTCCATTAAAAAACATGTAAATGTATATTTCTACCATTTTTTTTAATGTATCTTCTTCATAAAAAGCAAGCTGTGAGGAGAGTATCTGCTAATCGTGTCAATGTCAATAAAATGGTTGACTAATTTATAGTTATGATGTGTATGTGTGAACCATTACTGGGTAAATCAATGACAAAATGGATGATGCATGCTGAATGACAGCCCTCCTATGTGAAGACATGTATGGAATTGTTATCATTCTTTATCAATAAAACTTTCGCTAAAAAAGTTTCTTTGAAGATTTTTGACATATTTTCCACTTTGACCTTGAATAAAGGTGAAGGCACTATATAGAAGACACTTATCATTGCATCCCCTTTCCAGGTACCAGTACTAACCAAAACCCTCAATTGTCTGCCTGAATCGGAGATCCCTATGACCTACCATAAGTCAACGTCATTGATATAAAGACATGTTGGTACAAGGAAAACACCTTACACCAGTGTAATACTTTTATTACAATTTATTGCTTTTTGTGAACAATGTTAGTCCCGGATATAAGTTGTAGTATTTACAATATAGCAATACTGCATAATCTTCTATATACTTGTCATACACAAGTTATTTTGGCATCTGTGTTATATATATGATAATACATCTAATATTGTCAGTATATCCTGTTTTCTGAACTATACTTATAACAGTGTTCTACACAACAAACTTTACACCTATAAATTATTTGCATATGATGAAATGTATCAAAGTGTATAACACAAGGCTAAAGAGTAAAAAAATAATGACATAAAATGATACATAGAATTAACAGGAAGTCCTATAGAAAATCAGATCCATGATCTATGAGGGAAATTATACCCCTGAATCACAGAGAAGTGTAAATTGTGGATTTAATCACAGGTGTACCATACAGGTAGACATATACACAAATAGTTTAACCTTTAACCTCTCCATATCTACACACCCTGACTAATTCCAATAAAAGAAATTCTTTTTCATCAGCAATGTGACCACTTGTAATGAATACATTGTAATTACAGGTTTGTTAACAAACACTAAAACCAATGACTATAAAGCCTAAAATTATATACCAGATTACATGGTCCTGAAGTTGGACTCGGAAATTATTTCAGCACAGATATTCCAAATAAGAAAAAGACATTTTGTTAAAAATAAACATTCACAAGCAAATCATAAACAAAAAATGTGGGGTTGGCAACATCTTCAACTCTTTAAAAAGTAATACTTCAAGAAGTAATGCAAGACTCAATTACCAGGTCTGTTATAAGGATCTGGTGGAGGAGGGGGGAGGGGGGATTTCTGATGAAAAGCAATGTTACAGTGGTTTACTTCAATGTCCTCTTGTTAGGAATAACTTAAGTTGACTTTGATTTTCCATTTCAAGAACTTTTGACTTTGACCCAGGTTTATTCCAGTCTGCTCTATTTGATCCTGGCTTCTTTTAAGTACACACTTTGCAAAACATCTGCCTTACTCAAAATTCTCCATCGGAGTTCTTTACCTTGATCATGATTTACTTCCCTTCCAAGAACTCTACCGGTATCATAATTGATTTCACAACCTGGGTTTTATGTAAATATTCAATAAAACCTCATCATACCAAGGTTCTGATGGAAACAAATGAGACAATTCATTGTGTATAAATATATTTCATAAACCTTTTATCTTTTATATAGTAACAGAAATTATTTATCTAAAATCTCCGAAAATTTTAAGGTATGACAGCTTTGTGAAAAATTTACATTGTATCTTTTCATCTTGGCCGGATTAATTCTATATAAATCTTTTTCATTCTTCAAAAATGTAGGTTAATAATTTGTTTATATGAGCATATTCAGAATACTTCCGTAAACACATAAAAAATAAATAAAAATATAAGTATTAGGAGAATAAAACATTCTAAATTGGATCCAATATCCTCCATACAGTGTGAATGTCATGGGACAGGTGTACTTCAAAGAACCTGCTCAACGTCAAATAAGTTCATCTTAATTTCATAACTTATTTCATTAAAGATAATAAGGTTGATCTTATGACAAATAAGAAAGCATACATTTTCTCAAAACACAAAACTACACCATATATCCCTTTTAACATACCACTTACATACAGATGACTTCAAAGTTTTTTGTGTCGATATATTTTCATGATCAAGTTGATAAAACAGCACAAAAAATCAGGACGAAGGTTACTTGGACTCTGAAAAGCTTCACACATATATCCAATGATGTCTTAATCAGTCCACACCTTTAAATTGGTCCCAACAACTGAGAATTGTGGAAAGCTTTCTTAGTCCAATCAAGATTGTAGGCAATCACAGTTATTATCAATATTGCTTATTTCACTTTCTAAAACTGAAAGGAAATAAAACCTGATGTTATTGTCACCATACAAATGACAGCATGATTCATTGTTGTAATGTTAACGGTAGGATGAAATGAAAGGATGGATTTGTTGCATATGGTTCATACTAATTTATCAAAAATAGTTTTCTTTTTTCTTTGCGCTGGACAACATTAAGTAAAAATGTAAACATTGTAAGATTTGACATTCAATATCAGGAAAACTAACAATGGCAGCCTTTAACAACATACTGTAAAATAAGATATTTTCGTGGAGCTTAAATTTTGTGGTTTTCCAAAAATAACCATTTTGGTTGGCACTTGACTTGTGGTTGAATTTTGCTATAGTACTATAATCCAGGTCAACTTCTATTTGTTTATTACCTTGGATTATAAATTTTTTTATTCATAATTCAACAGCAATAAATGCCCCACAAAAAAGATTTTACAATCATATGGGAACACTAGGATGTTAAGGTATCAGGTAAGAAACACTGCTCTGTACCTTAATGCCATCTTTATAAGATTTCTGGCAGTAAAACACAGAGAAACCACAAAATTCCACAGAAATTCATAAGTACTTATCAGTATGCATAACATGTATAATATTTTATTATTTAATAACAATTTCATATTTAAACAGAAAATAATGTAACCAATATATATGTACCACAATATCTGTGTCAGTCAGAATCATTGTATCTTATATCCCTTCAATACACTCAGTCAGAATCATTGTATCTTATATCCCTTCAATACACTCAGTCAGAATCATTGTATCTTATATCCCTTCAATACACATCCTGCTGATGTTAATAATGTATAATAGAAGTTCGAGGTGCAGACTTTTGACCTAACCTAGGTCTACTATATCTTAACTAATAAGATGAAAAACTACCAGACAAAAATAATTGTAAAGGAATATAAATAAAAACACATGTACAATATGAATTTATATATCAATTGATTATACTATTTATATGTTACACATGATGTCGACATATCTGCCATAAAACCTAGACATTAAAAGTAGATCTAACCTAAGGATCAACAGCTATTCAGGTAATTATTTAAGAAAACCTTATCTATTGAACACAAATATTACTTTGGAATAAAAAGGCAATGAAGGTTCACCTGCAATGTCTAAATACCATGTAATCAATGTCAGGATTTATAAATCGTTCTTCCGAGCACCTGTATACATTATGGATCACTCAACTGTACACCTTGTAGTTATTTAGCTGTACCAGAGGTACACCTTGTAGTTACTTAGCTGTACCAGAGGTACACCTTGTAGTTACTTAGCTGTACCAGAGGTACACCTTGTAGTTATTTAGCTGTACCAGAGGTACACCTTGTAGTTATTTAGCTGTACCAGAGGTACACCTTGTAGTTATTTAGCTGTACCAGAGGTATACCTGTAATGTACACTCATCGCTCATATTCATGCATCAATTTTTGTACGAAGTTTGTTACCACACTCTCATCTCTTTGTGATATTTCGGTTTTCTTCCATTACAATGTTTTCGACGAATCTGCTCTTGCCATTTTATATTAGGAAATTTATCATCCTATTTTATGATTCTGAGCCTGTTTATTATTTGCTGTGAAGACTACGTGTCTGACTTCTTGTCTTTCTTGTGTTTTTTGTGCTCTTTGTGTTCTTCATGGTCTTTGTCCTTTTTCTTCTTGAGGAAACCAAACATGCTTCTTCTCTTTCCCTTCTTATCTTCGTCCCCATGGTCCGCCTCTTCAGCCCCAAGATGATCCGACATGGGGCGTTCTCGTGGAGCTTGTTGCGGCCTTGCCTGTACAGAAATAAACAGTTAGTATTACAGAATCAACATCATAGAATACTGATACCTTCACTTCTTCAAGGAACCAAAGCCACATGATTTTTGCATTCAATATATTTGTGTCTTTATCTTTTATGCCTGTCCATATATATTGCTGTTAGTAATGTCACAAACCAATGCTATTTCATTGGTCTGTAATAAGCCTATGCTCTAAATTTATTAAGGACGATACAAAACGCAGGCACCTGGGCTTATTACAGAACAGATACAGAAATATTCAGTTCCTGTATCTAAACATGGGTGGTTTCTCATTTGTGCTATCTCAACATTAACTCAGTGCCAGTCATTTCTGTTTTTAATATTATGGAAAGAAATATGGGGAATATGATATTGTTTTTCAGCTCTAAAAGGACAATAAATAAATAAATAAATCTCTCCCTGTTGAGAATATATGAAAACATTGATTTATTTGTCTACAAAATAACTTACTCTTGGGCTTTCCTGCTGATATTGTTGATGGTCTGCAATGGAAAAAGAATACAATCAGAATTTTACAAAGATATTTTATACCCCTGGTATACTGTTTAATCAAAACAACTGAGCAGGGAATCACAAAGATATTTTATACCCCTGGTATACTGTTTAATCAAAACAACTGAGCAGGGAATCACAAAGATATTTTATACCCCTGGTATACTGTTTAATCAAAACAACTGAGCAGGGAATCACAAAGATCCACATGATATAGGAGCCTTGTAGAGTCTGTGTACCTCACGTGTGAGCACGGAATCACATAGATCCACATGATATAGGAGCCTTGTAGAGTCTGTGTACCTCACGTGTGAGCACGGAATCACATAGATCCACATGATATAGGAGCCTTGTAGAGTCTGTGTACCTCACGTGTGAGCACGGAATCACATAGATTCACATGATATATTAGCCTTGGAGTCATTTATAAATCGTTTGTGATAAATCATGTATTTGCAAATATGTATGAAGAAATATATTTGTGAAATAAAGTAGGTAAACTAAATACAATTATTAATAGACCTTAAACGACGGGAGGAGGCCAACAGATTAAAAAAGTTCCTGGTCTTCATAAAATCAATGAAAATATTAGATATATGCACATCTTTATTTCAATATATGTTATAGAATTAAGCTGTATTCTGTCAAAACACTTTTTGAAATGGACTCACATATATCACTTGTAACTTGTATTTTACATTGGTAAATTATCTTATTCCTACCCAACAACATCTATCTATTTTCTTTTATCTACTTTCACAAATATTCACAGAAATTAAGACTATTGCATATTCATCTTTTGTAAAGCTATCTTTTTAGATACACACCATGACCATCTCCGTTGAGTTCATCACTACCATTATAACTCTGAGGTGTAACAACTGGTGACTGGTCAGATGTTGCCATGACTACAGGTGACTGGTCAGATGTTTCCATAACTACTGGTGGCTGTTCTGAGAGTGGCAGAGGTGGTGGTGGTGATACTACTTCATCTTCCACATGATCTGCTACAAGAAACATGTGAGTCAGTTATCTCAATAACCAAAATAACATCTACATATGCATTTCAATGTATTGAAGAAAACAAAACACTAAACTACATTTGCAAGTGTCCATAGCTTTATATGCAATGAATAAATAAAGGGTCAACCCACCTGAAGAGGGGTCACTCAATCTGCTCACTGTTCGGTCATTCTGAGGTGTTTGGACGTCTTGAAACTCCTCCCTTGGACTGTCCTGCCGGTTTACAGGTTCAGCCTCTGACACCTCCACAGAGTTACCCGGAACACCTGAGGAGTTACCATGATCAGCCATCTGGCGTACCCTGGCCAGGTCCTCTTCTCTGAACTCCTGAGATTCTCTGTGAGGTGCGAGTGGAGATGTGCTGCGAGCACGACCTTCAAGATGTTCATTATTTGCCATCGCTTCAGCCACATCTTCAGAAACTTGAGCAGCTGAAAGCAACAAGAATAATATTAGAAAAACTGATATTATACAAGTTAATGACGTAAATCTAGATCATCAATCCAGGGTGCTGTAAAGTCAAACTGAATGCATGCAAAATTAATGTGGAATATATGAGGTAATTACACATGGAGTATATATAGATATATATTACTTATACATGTATCTTTAAAAATTGAATTAGCATTACAATTTCTTAAACAATGAAAAGAAAACTAATCATTTAATAAAGAGCTTAGGTTTTAAAAAACAAGTTCAAAGATATGTTTAATCTTCAGTAACACTATTTCACTTTGTAATTTTTAACATAGTACATCAAGTAAATTAAATCTTTATATCAAAATACATTTATCAAAGCTTGATAAGAAAGGCAAGATAAATAATTCCCCCATTGGCAGCCAAGCAGATCTGAGGATTAACTCGATAGCCAAGCTTGCAGATCTGCAGATTCAACTTGTTCTGACAGCCAATCAAAATTGAGAATTCACTTCAGTCAACAGCTAAGCAGACATCTTGCTTCACATTGCTTACATCCAGTCAGAATGCACAATCAACATTAGTGGCTTTAAAGCCAGACTGGTTGGTCTTTGTACAGCAAGATAATCAAAAAGCTTACATTACTGACAGGATTAACATTGCTACCAATACATTCTGAAATAAGGTTTATACCAATTATTGAAGATGTTTTGGAAGAATCAACATTAAGATTGCTGTTTGCTATGTGTTTAGGATATGGTATCTAGCTACCACTGGGCTTCTGGTGAGTGTAGTAAGTCTGTGGATTGTGAATAGGAAAGTGTCAAACACACATCACTGCATCAAACATACAAGTGCAATTACAAATCACACATACTCCTATAGATATTTGGTGAAAGGAACAAAATCTGTGGGCAAAAAGACAGCTTCTTTGAGATCTGCTTAGTTAAGTATGACTAGAAGATAATAAATATCTATCATATCATGAAGAAATCTGTGTATAAAGAAGAGAACAATCATTCTGAACCAAGTAAGAATATTTTGTATACATATCTCTGCCTATATCTGGACAGTTTCACTCATTAAAAACACAAAGACAGAAGAAGTGTCAAAGCCAGAGCACTGTGTCCACTAATAATATAACTATCACATTGAAGCACTCCACTCAACTACAGGCAACACTAATGTTAACAACACAAAATCACTAGCTTTTACAAGTGTCTGTTCATAGGTCAAACTGGCATGGTGATAATAATCACATCATCTAATAAATGAAAAGCCAATTAATATCCAGTCATTACATAGAACTGCATCGGCAAGACATTAGTTACATAGAACAGTAATGTTATACCGTAACAATCCAGGAAACATGCACACATTTACTTACAAGTGTATACCAAATAATCTTTGTGACCTTGACATACACTGTATCATTACTGATCACATTTTTACTGATGACCTTGGTCATTATGGAAGGCTTTTAACTGATAATTTTGACTATTAACCATTAAAGATGTCTTTATAGTGATGACTTTGACAATACCTGATGACCTTGACAGTTCCTGAAGAATTATATTGTATTGATGACCTTCAGAATTACTGATGACCTTGACCATTCCTGATGAATTAAATTGTACTGATGACCTTCAGAATTACTGATGACCTTGACCATTATTAATGCCTTTGAGCCTTTGCTATAATTGTATTTTAATTCACAAATTAATTTGTGATCATATATCTATACCTTGGTTTTACAGTTGGAATTTAATTTAGAAGGTTTTACAATAAGTGATGGATGACCTTCATCATTACTGATGACCTTGTGTCATCATCACTAGCAACAGTCCGTTACATTTGATCTTACATTAACATTGGTATAGCATTGTACAGATGAATTTACACTTGATCCAATTGAAGATAAAATGATTGTATTTGTGCATTTAATCACAGAATATTTCATGGTCAAGCTTAAGGTATGGCCAATATCACAATGTTAAATATACACAAGCATTAAGCTTTATCATCACATTGCACACAAGTTCAGCATAGAGAAATATTTCAATTAAGCCATTTTTATGTATTTATCACAATTACTGATATGTATCTTGACAATGCAATCTGTTGTCACAACATTCCAAAATCACATGTACTTAGGTATAGAGGCATTTACTGAACAAAGACGCTTCTGTTTTCTACAGGGGATTAAAACAAACCTCTGTTAACATTTTCTGTCTTCTAGAAAGCTTGTACTATATGCAACATCTATAAGTTAGTCACAAGCTGCAATAAATCTAGATCAAATTAAAGAATTCAACAGCATTTCAAAAAAAGACAAAACAAGGTAAAAATGACAAAATGACAGTGTCAAAAAAGCCAGAAGAGTTTGGAAACCTGCACCTGTGTAGCCAGTTAAAGGAGCCACATAGCACTTCAGACACATTCCATAGCATGCTCATGCATTTCATGTCACATTGTAACTCATTATAAATTTTCTTTTCTTCATTCTACAATTTCAATGGCTTCTTTTTTAGGACTACAATTTTGAGTCTGACCTATTCATAAGATTATCTTCAAACTTTCAATTCGGATGTTTTAGCAAACATCATGCAAACCTCACAAGCAAATTGCAAGAAACTTCACCAAATTGCAATAAAATTCAATAAAGCCCTTGAACCTGCAAAAACTACTAATCCCATCAAAAGATCTGCCTGAGCATTCTACATAAAGCAATCTGAAACAGCCTTGTCTCCACAGCAGTAAATCTCTGCACTCGTCAGGAAAGACAACTCTATACCACATGATACCTGTAAATATTTCTCTCAACTCTGAGTCTTCCAGCATCTCATCTTCTGCCCCTGGGTATAAAATCAGAATATTTACATGGCATGCTCATTGATATAATAAAGGATTTCTTGGAAAAAAGAAAAAACAATAAACCAGCTTTACAAAAAAAATCATGATGGAGATTAAGAAGAAAGAGGAAAGCTAAAGCACAGCAGAGAAAATTAATTTTTTAACTCACACAAAACAGAAAGAATTTAATAAAAGAAAAATACCATCGTGTAAATTGACATTAAAAATGTCTTTGTTGCGGACCTTTATCTAGTGCGGACCTTTATCTAGTGCTTGGTTTGAATGCACTGGGAGCATTGCTTCACTTCTAGAAGTCAGCATTACCTTCATGTTCAATGCATTCCATAACACCTCAAATTCTAACATTTTAATACAATGGTTTCTAGCAGCACCATTCTACAATAAATCCATTACATTGCCCATTTTCAAAGCTAAGAACATGTGTTACATATCTATGACCATTTGATCTCTGTTGATATTCACATGACAGAAGGAAATATAATTGTGACTAGACAACATATCTTTCTAGTATTAATATCAACTACCATTCCAATATTAACTCTCAACATTCAAATAAATGTGTATGATATTTTGAAATGAAATTTACAATATGTGTTCAAAAGAGGATTGCATACAGTGACTGAGGGAAAGTTGTGACAATCCATGCTATATCTAGCAACAGATATATAAGTCACTTCACCTCTGTGATCATTAAAAGGTTGTGACCTCAAGGTCACAAGGTTAATCTTTCCTTCTAAATTAAAATACTTTGACATATCAGGGCAATTAAAAGTATACTATCAGATGTGAAATTCTCAAATATGGTATATCCTTACTGGTACCAGTATATATAGCATTTTGTGAAGCTGATTGCTCTTTTCCTTGGCAGTTTATAAAATACATCACATTTATAAGCATTTTGTTTGTGTTATTCAGTGCATTATTCTGGAAAGCTGAGTGATTGTAGACATCTGAAATAGCCAGCTTAACGTAACAAGTAACATTACAACACAGATCACAATGATAGGAATGCTCACAGAAGCAGTTTTACAAGTTTAACTGAGTTATTGATAGCAGTAAAATCAAAGTCATATCTACAATTTAAGCATTCTATTATCTTTATACCCGTCACACATGTCATGACAAAATGAACGTATCTGTATATACATCATTGTGGATGACCAATGTAACTAGGTTAAAAACCACTACAGAAATCTAAATAGTAGTCTGTTTGGTATCACTTTAAGATAATTTGCATAACAGTAGAATAAGAATTTGGGTGTATATCAAATGTAATCTTATCAAAGGCCAGGTGTCATTATATTGATATCTCATCAAAGAATATGTGTTGTTCTATCATTATCTGATCAAAGGCCAGGTTCTGTTATCCAATCCATATTTTTTGTTTGAAACATATCAAATGACCCTTAATATCCTGTTTTGTTATGACATATCTAAAGAATGCAGATAATTTTAAAATAAAACCCTTTGAATATGAAGACAAGAGATCCCAGAGGGATCTTGGCGCCCACCATTTGAGGATCTGTTTTCAGTTCTTGAAGATTTGTTTTTTATTTTTTTTTTGTTTGTTACAGGTGTTGTAAATGTTCATGAACTGGTCTTCATTGAATGTACTCAATGATGGCACAAGATATTTTTATTAAGCACCTATTAGCAAATATCATTTGAAAAAGATCCCAAAGTATTATTAGATAGCAGTCAGTTACAGGTGGATGATGTGCTGTATTACTGTCGACATCCAAGATGGCCACTTGTGGGCCACCTTGATTTCAAATCAGTCCAAAAAAGGTACAATGCACAACTAGGGACCAAAGGAAACCAATATCTATGAAATATCAGAAGGATCCATCCAGAACTTCCTCAGATATAGCAGTAACAAGATTTTACTCTCAAAATCCAAGATGGCTGCCTGTCAGCCATCTTGATTTCGGATCAGTCCAAAAAGGTATAATGCACAACTTGGAACCAAAGGGAACCTGCATATGAAATTTGAGAAAGATCCATCCAGTACTTTCCAAGAAATAGCAGTAACAAACTTTTACATCCAAAATCCAAGATGGCCACCTGTCGGCCATCTTGAATTCGAATCAGTCCAAGAAAGGTACAATGCACAACTAGGGACCAAGGGGAAACTGCATATGAAATTTGAGAAAGATCCATCCAGTACTTTCCAAGAAATAGCAGTAACAAACTTTTACTTCCAAAATCCAAGATGGCTGCCTGTCGGCCATCTTGAATTCAAATCAGTCCAAAAAAGGTACAATGCACAACTAGGGACCAAGGGGAAACTGCATATGAAATTTGAGAAAGATCCATCCAGTACTTTCCAAGAAATAGCAGTAACAAACTTTTACTTCTAAAATCCAAGATGGCTGCCTGTCGGCCATCTTGAATTCGAATCAGTCCAAAAAAGGTACAATGCACAACTAGGGACCAAGGGGAAACTGCATATGAAATTTGAGAAAGATCCATCCAGTACTTTTCCAGAAATAGCGGTAACAAGAATTGTTTACGGACGGACGGACGGACGGACCACGGACGCAGGGCGATTTGAATAACCCACCATCTATTAGATGGTGGGCTAATAAATCAGATTGTGATAAATCAGGTTGTGATATATCAGATTGTGAGCTCTTCAAATAAACCTAAGTCCTCGACATTAAGCCTAGAACACCAAGGTTTGGGGATCTGATGAGCTGTAATATCTAATACTATTTACATAGTTTTACTTTAAATACATGTATTATATCTGAATATTTATCAGAGATTTTTACATTTTTTCATGTTCATCGCTAAAGATGCTCAGATGAATCACACAGACACATTGCCTTGAGATTGATTAGTGTTGTAAGTAAAGAGAAATGATTGTTCTTCAAAAAAAAAGAGGATCAGAAAAAAAAAATCTTATGAAGACTTCCAATTACAATGAAAGTGCTTAGCAACAATGAATGAACCAAATACATAAAAAGGACACACTTAACATCACTTCTGCCTTCATTGTGCATTCATCATAAACCACGGGTCAATTTCCTTCTTATTGGAATTTACCGAATCAAATATTGAATATAAAATATAGTAGTCTTTATGATACTCAATATCAAGGAAAAGAAGATTGCAGTCATTCTGGAAAAAAGTTGGGTATGCTTAGGACAGTTAATATAAGTCCACTGTGGAACTTCTTGTCGAGAGTGTTATATGTGACAATAGAGATAATGCTTTTCCTATATGACCAAACAATTAACCATGCAGTTTTACTACCACAGCTGCCTGCTTTTCAGTTTTGTATCACAAGTTTTTATTACTATAAAATAGATACAATGACCCTGGCTAGAGACAGCACACTGAGGGTTGAGGTGTATATTAGAGCTTCTCTATCTTTACGAGGAATGCAGAGCTGCTGACTGTGTGTCACACAGAAATCCTGGCTACACAAAGAGGAAGAAAAAAAAATGGCCAAGTGTAAAAAAGCAGGGAGAAAATGCGGAAAAATAAAGATAACCAGGAGAATACAAATCACCTCCATCGTCGTCCCTCTGATCAGAATTATGTATGAATTCCGAATCTGTGTGCATGGGCAACTGAGCTACAATAGCCATAAAGAAAAGAGGAACATGAATAATAATGCTAAGATAGGTAAATATGGGTTTATATAATTTACATTTCATGTCAAGTAAAAAAGTTTAAAAGTATGTATCAGAAGGCTGATTAACCAAATACATTTACACATGTACATACACATCATAGGGGAGGCATCATAGCTTATATTTCACCATTTCTTTTGTTAAAGTCAGAATTAAAAGGAATAATTTAAACAATTAGAAGACAATAATCAGCTATAACATGATGTATGTACATGTATACTAGGTTGTATGTTGTGTGTATACCAAACACTGCTAAAAGCATCAGAAGCTACATGTATCTTCATTATTATTTAGTAAGCACCACAGTTAATGAGCAAATTACATACTTTAACATAATCAAAACTTAACAGATGCTTTCTCCACGTCACATATCCCCTTTGAAGCCTCACATATCCCCTTTGAAGCCTCTTTCCTAACTAGTATCTCTGAAAGCCCACCTTTATGCTTAATACCAGGTATTATTACAACTCCCCGACCTATACGGGGTTCCTATTACCTGGTATTACAGATATCTAAATTCATTCTTGTAGTTGAAACCCTTAGTAACACTAGTGCCAAAACTTCCCGACCTGTACGAGGTCCCTATTACCTGGTATTACAGATATGTAAATCCCTCCATGTAGCCTTGTAGCAGAAAACCCCAGTAACTCTAGCACCACAATCTGTACATAGTTTGTAGTAATGCTAGGACTAAATTCCTATACTTGTATGAAGAGTGATCCTAAAACTGGTATATTTTCTCTCCAAGTTAGAGACCCCCACTATTAATCAATCATTCCTTCCTGTGTTCTTTCCTGAAATGTCTATAGGATTATGAGAAATCATCTGTAATGTTTTATGTATACAAATATAATAACATTCCTTTAGCGTTCAATATAAGATTTGATTAAGCCAATCATTTATTCAAATGTAACCCTATTTTTCCAAAAACCAGAAAGAGTTCCAAAATAGACTGAATGTTTTCAACAGTGACTTAATAAGCACACAAATTAGTGAGATATATATCTGGGGATTATAAGCATACATTAAATATGAATATTCATAAGCAGGCAGATGTTATGTATTATATATAGCATTAACAGAAGATAATGAGAATCACAGGTCTATACATGGGTAATAACAATATTGGGGAAAAGAACATTACATCTAAATCAACAAATTCTGAGTTCAACGTTTTTCAATGTTCATTACCTGCAAAATGGCTGACTTTAGAAAGCCATTCATTCATTTCAATCTGATTGCTTGCTTCCATTAAGAATTCAGCTCCATCTTTGAGTCGTAGTCGGAAAACATTCTTCTTTTTGTGGTAGTCTCTAGCAGCCTCACAATAAGCATTGTGTATAAATAGGGACGGAGCACAGGGCACTTTCTCTACAGAGGCTGAAAAACAATTAGGCAAGGTCATACAAGGTCAAAATACATAACATCAAAGTCACACAACAATGAGGCAAAGTTATACAAGGTCATATACAACAAAGATTAACATAAGGTCATACAACTCAACTCTATGTCGTCAATGCCATAAAACAATGAGACAAGGTTCACACAAGGATATACACAATAAAGACAAAGTCACAATATAGTCAAACAATGTTGATGCCAAATCATAATACAATTACACAGGTGACAAGTCATAAAACATGTGTACAAAGTAAATGCGAGGAAATGTTACAACATACTGTTGTTAAAATAATTGAAATGTTCAAGGTCACAATATACAAATTCACAAAACAAGCAGACAAGAAAAACTCAACATTCTTATAGAGTATAGATTCCCATCAAATATTTATAACTAACTAATATTGAACTCCAAGATGTCCAAAGAGAAACATCATATCATAGTATATGCATTTATAGCCAGTATCTATATATTATGAAAAGTTCGTACCTTCCTTGTCTTTGAAAAATGCCATAATTTGTCCATATAATACAGTATAGAATGATTTCCAGGATCGAATTGTGGCTTTTTTACCACCAGTTTGTAATTCCTGTTTACGCTCTAAAAGTCCTTCAACTTCAGCAGGAGGTAAATTATCTGGAAGTTTATATTTTTCTTTAAAACTACGTGTTCTTCTCCGAAGATTAAAACTAGGAGTTCTCTTTTTCTTATCTTTGCCATCATCTTTCAAAGCCTCTACACGTTTCTGTTTGGGGCTAAGCTGAGGTGAGCGCCCAGGGATGTGTTGTTGGTCAGACATGCCCAACATCTCTGGAGGCGGGGCATCTGGCAGGGTTGGAGCATCCAGCTCATCATTGTCATTTTGAACTATTCCCTCCCCATGTTTAAATTCATAAGCCTTTTGTAGCACAGGTGGTGGGGAGCTGGCCCCATCGGTACGAGACTTGAAACTAATAGCGCGTCGAACCTCCTTTCCACCACTGTCCTTGTCACCTTTCTTATCTCCTTTGTTTTTCTTTATACTATGAGAGCGACCAATCAAGTTCTTCACTGTGTTACGGTCCAACTTATCTCGGTCACTGTAATACATCAATAACAGTAAAATATTGAACCATCTTGTCCTAAATACTGAGGGTACCTTAAGCAGGACTTAATTTTCCATTGTTTGTTAATATCTATACTGCTAGATCCTGTTTTTTTTCCTTTTTTTTCTCTTTGTGTGAAAATTTCCAGCACATTCCTGTATCATTGTTCCATCAAACACTAAATTCCTCAGGTTTTCAGAAGTTCTAACATCCTACATATCAAATTAACAAATGTGTTGTAGAATTGCTGATACAACCTGACTTAAACACATCTAAACAATCTGATAGAAATGTTTTTACTTAGCCAGGAGTCCACTCTGTTGACTGGTATTTTGCTAATTTGTCAATGACTTATCTTATTGTACAAACAACTTACATATCATCCTCGTCTGAAGAGCCATCAGCACTTTTCTGTCTTCTCAGTAAGACATCTCGTGCCTTCCTCTGTTCCTCTTCACGTTTTCTTTCCTGTGGCAAAACACATTGATTTAGTAATTCTGTATTATTCATCTTGTTCTCACACAAAAAAGACTGTTTAAATGTTAAGCTCTACATAAAGCTGGCAACAAGTTTAAAATGACTAACAGCCAACATGACAGTATCTGTGTAATAACACATTCAGCCATACTAGAAAGCTCCAGATTAAGAAAAATGAGAATTAAGATGCACATATTTAGATACATGATAACAAGCTAAGCTTAAATACTATTCCAAATTTCTTAACTTAAATAATGCATTGAAGTCATCAATCATAACACTGCCTTTTTTTTTTTTGAAATTTGAAATCCATGCTCAGTATGATTATTCATGCAATCGGACAACAAAAAAAAGTAAAGCACAAAGCCCTGACATACATCTGATAAATCTAATACACATCTATAAATATATATATATATATATATATTTTTTTTTTCTCTCTGTAAAAAAATGAACACCACATTTACTGATAGTGAAGATTCTTGTCAGTTGTTATTTAACACCACTGAGTTACTGTTCAATCTCTAAAGTGTCTGTGTGATTTGGACAGTCTATATTACAACTATATGTTAGATGTTACTGTTTACATAAGTGAATCCTGACAGACATCAGAAACAGATTTACTAAAGGACAGTATCACGCTTCATAGTGGACCTCAGTGTTAAACAAAACGTGAATGAAAAATCAAGCTTTAAATAAACACAATGAAGGTAATTAACATTTAAAAGAACGTTTACAACATTGAAGCTTTGAGTAACAAAACTAAATCATTATGCAGTAAAAATTAAGCTGCGAAAACACTGATCAAGCAAAAAACCAAACATACACTCTGCAGAGTCTGCAAATAGAAAGAAGGTTTGGTCAAGGAATGGTGGTCAATGATAGGCTGCTATATGTAATGTTTGTAATCTTCCATAATGGTCTTCCTCTTCATTAAACACAGATTTTATTTCATTTAAATCATTATTTTAAAACTTGCTGAAAATTGAATATCTACTAGTTCCTTGCAATATTATTGGTCTAAAATGTCTAAATCACAAATAGTCATTAAAGCTACAAAAATATTCTTTAAAATATGCCTCAAGCCTTTATTTAATCTAGGTCATGTTAATGACTAGAGCGTACACTTGTGATCTACAACACAATAAAACGCCACAAAAAGGTAATTAGACACCACATCTTGTAATCTAGTTTAGAAAGATACAGCCATTTTCTAGGATACCTGCTATATCACAATAATAAGACAAATTTTACTGACCACTAAAAATCATTTTTGTCTACAGCCACAAGATGGAGACAATAAAGATGGACATTTTAACAACACTACAAAAATATAACACTCAGTATAACAAAATGGGAGATCCCACAGGGATCTTGGTGCCCATCATTGATCTCTATTTGATCTTTAAAAGTTGGATCTTTTTCCTTCTCTCCTCTGTTTTTGCTCTCCATTATAATAAATTTAAACATTCCTCTGAAGGAATAGTGATTTTAATTTCTAATTCCCAAATCCAAGATGGTGTCGGCTTTGTTTTTTCTGATCAGTCTTGAAATCTAAAGGTCACATACAACAAGGGACCAAGGGAAACCTACGTAACAGATGAGAAGGATCTTTCCTGTATTTCCCCAGAATTTTTGTTTTTAAATGAACAGATGACGAGAGACTACATATATAGCCTACCATCTGATGATGTTGGGATAATGAATTCATACAATTTCATTATCAGAAAGCAATGTTCTTAATGAGAATGGTTTCCGACTGAAAATGATACCCTTTATGATACATATAAATCAGCAATTAAAAACAAGAGATTTATTTTGTATCAACTAGAACAAGGGCAAAATATTCACATGCTTCCCCCTACGAAATCCCACACCATGAAATTATATATGTATTTCAATATAAGTATTTTTACAATCAGATCTTAAATAATATTTGCATCATTCATTATGTGCTTTCATACACTTGGTGAGTCTGAATACCACATCTACTCTATAGAAATAGTGACGTTCCCATCAGAACTACCATCTTACCTACTCCTGCAAACAGACAGACATGACCCAAGGTGATATGGATGTACACAATGCCCTAGCTTTCAGTTACATACAGATGTACAAAACAGAGCAGCAAGTGTTTATACAAACATTCCACAACAGATGTTATAAGACATTCAACATGGCCAATAGATATTATAAATTGTACCTCCATGATTCTATCTTGTTCACGTTTTCGAATCTCCTCCAGTCTCTCCATCTCTCTTCTGGCATTCTCTTGTTCAATCTGCTGTTGTTTCTTGTCTAGGATAGCCTGTTCTAACTGTCGACAAAGAGAAGTAGTGTCAATACACAAGGTCTGGACCCCAGACATTTTAGTGTACTACAGAAATAGTAATATGCAACTAGTAGCTATTTTAATATTGTGAAAATAATACCAAAGAGAAATACAGATTTTCAATCACCTTCATGCCTCCAAATTACTCAGAGCTTTTTAAATGAACATCACATCAAAGTGCACATAAAGACTGTGATAAATTCTGTAAGTTACTCACCTGAGTTCTGCGACAGATTCCTTTGAATTTTTCTGACTGAGCTTCAACAGTTTTCTCAAAGTCATCCTGTCGCCGTAGTAACTCTTCGACTGCCTGTATATTGCTACCATAATTTTTCTCCTTCATCAATGGTTCCCTGATTGTCATCCAGGCTTCCAATTGTTCCATCTCATGTTTCAATTGCTAGAAAACAAGGTCAAGTTCATTAATTTTATCAAGGTCACATCTTAATGCTATCCCCTGATCATCTTTCCTGTTAGTCTGAACTTTATAGAAAAATCTCTTCAAGTCATCAAATTAATTGCCATTACCAATTCTTGTTCTCTAAAAAATCTCAGAGTTCTTTACCATAAAATCCTTTGACCTTTTAATAATCACATATCATGTTGGTAAAATCACATCTACAAACCTGGGCCTCTAGGTTCTGATCACAGATTTTTTTGTAGGTTTCAAATGTACTCAGTAACGCTTCCCAAGCAGAGTTTAAATCTTTCACTTTGTCTTGTATCTGGAACAGATCAGCAATATTTCATATACATCTAATATGTAACATTCTTTCTATAAATCCACTTCAAAGGCCTGTAAAGATTCACATTATACAATACAAAACTTTGTGTACACACCTCATCAGACAGGAAATGGCCATTTTGTATCATGACCTGTCCTGTCTCCCTGAAAGTGTTGACAACCTCCTCCCGGCTCTCTATCTCTGTCTTGTGTTCCTTACATAAGGTGATCTTGGCTTCGGCCAGAGACAGATCCCGTGGATGTTCCTCTGATGTGATGATGGCGATCATTTCATTAATCCATGCTCTGGAAGAAGAAGGTATTCCTGTGCTTTCTCTTTGTTAATAATCAGTTTCCATCCATATTTTAAATAATTTGTACTAATACCACAAATCTATACTGCTGATTTTGTTAGGACATACATTACAGAGAGGACCTGCCCCCTCCCTCCTAGTTAAATTAAAAAAATCCTGAACATATACAGAGTTCATCCAACCTTAGATACTTACATGAGCTCCCTGTAGTCATTAAAGTAGACCTGGAGTTGGTCAGCCTGTTGTAGCTTCTCTTTACGAAGCGTGGCTTTCTCCACAAGGTTGTTCCATGATTGAACCATTTCCTCATGTTTCATGGCGATGTGTTCCTGGGCATCGGGAAACTGGCCAATTAGTCTCTCTGCTTCCTTGGTGATTGACTCCACCTGTTCACTGATGGCGGCAAGGTCACGCTGTACAGACAATGACAAGGTTATATAACATACAAAACAACACTTTGCACTATTGTATTTGTTTTCTCATTTTGTTCATTGTTTGCATGAACTTTCTTAGAGTATATTTGGTTAAAAAAAAAAAATTCCAACTTCACAACTATTTGAACATCTTCATGAAACTTTTAGAATGAACAAAGTAACCTGTGGCCTTACCTCAAGTCCTTCGTGTCTACTAAGCAGTGCCCGCACACTTTCCAGATCATGGCCAAAGTCCTCCTTGGTCACCAGTCCTTCTTTCTCTTGGATCCAGTCCAGTGTGTCGTCTGCATCCCTACCATACATGTGAACCTGCTTGGCAGCTGCGAGGGCCTGTAGAATGAAAAGTTGTATGATAGATTTTCTCTTTATATTTTAGTTACGTAAGGATTAAGGCATTTTCATCCAAAACATGCCTAAAGCAGAGAATTCCTAAATTTCAGTTGATTCTTCCTTACAAATGAAAACTGCTGCAAGAAATGAATCCACATCATAAGTCATGTTCAATAACAGAGATAAAGATATACGGTGTTCTATGACCTTATTGTAAGGATATTTATCCTTTGTTAATACTTACATCCTGACGGGCCTTGGTGACATCTTTCAATTCAAGCCACATCTGATTAATCTCCTCCAGTCTCATCTTGATCTTCTCCGACTCAAAATGTTGTACTTCAATCATGGCGATCCCCATGGTTTCTACCTTAGTGATTCGATCTTCACTTGAATTAAGGTCGTGGATAAAGTCCTCAAACTTCTGCTGTAACATCTGAAGGAGAAAAGTCAACTTTAATTGGTGTTAGATTTAAGTAGAGAGTCTGTAAAATTCCAATGCTGATAGGGTATATACCTGATCTTTTATAGGACTTTCAATTTTCCAGTTCTTAAGTCATAACAAAATGAAATGAAAACAAGGATGTATTAACTTTAAGTCTTTGTGTAGATGTTTTACTTCAAACCGAAACTTAGTCTAGTATCTCTGCAATGAAAATTGAAATACAAACCTCCACATGCTCAAGATCTTGTCCATAATCCTCTGACGCAGCTATGACAACACGGTCAGAGATCCAGACAGTCACTTCCTCTGCCTCACGATAAAACTCAAACAGTTTCTTAGTATCTGTTAGTCTGACACGTCGCTGGCTGGAGAGATCCTGAAGGTGGCTGTGTTTACTTTCTATAGATGCCTACAGAATATAAACATCGCTATACAACCAGGAGTTCATACTTCTCATCAATGGTAATGAAACATTCCAAAAGAAATATACAGCTTTTGTTTTTAGGACCATTTTTTATTGACAGAAAGACGGGTTGTTACTGCAAAGGTTACCATACTACCTCTCTATGTTTGCTATGGCAGAAGCTACAAGGCGTAACCATACTACCTCTCTATGTTTGCTATGACAGGAGCTATAAGGTGTAACCATACTACCTCTATGTTTGCTATGACTGAAGCTACAAGGTGTCACCATACTACCTCTCTATGTTTGCTATGACAGGAGCTATAAGGTGTAACCATACTACCTCTATGTTTGCTATGACTGAAGCTATAAGGTGTAACCATACTACCTCTATGTTTGCTATGACTGAAGCTACAAGGTGTCACCATACTACCTCTCTATGTTTGCTATGACAGAAGCTACAAGGTGTCACCATACTACCTCTCTATGTTTGCTATGACTGAAGCTAAAAGGTGTCACCATACTACCTCGCTATGTTTGCTATGACTGAAGCTAAAAGGTGTCACCATACTACCTCTCTATGTTTGCTATGACTGAAGCTAACAGGTGTCACCATACTACCTCTCTATGTTTGCTATGACAGAAGCTATAAGGTATCACCATACTACCTCTGTATGTTTGCAATGACAGAAGCTACAAGGTGTCACCAAACTACCTCTGTATGTTTGCAATGACAGAAGCTAAAAGGTGTCTCATACCTGTTGTTTCTTGATATTTTCGCTGTCATAGTGACCTTTGTCCACTAAAGTGCGGCTCAGAGCTGCCAATTCTCCAATGTTGTTGCTAAAGTTATCAATATCTCTTTCAAGAGCATCCAATTTCTTTGTGTAGGCCTGAAATATGAAAGTTAATCAGCATCAGATCATGTGTTCACACAATGGCAGTGACATCATCTTTTATGTGTAATCATTTTCAACCATAAATGACCACTGCCCGTGAGAAAGTACCTTGTCTCGTGACATATTTCTTTTCAACTTTATTTTGCAATACACTTATTGATTAGTAACATTATCAATCTGACGACTTGTAATGTATATCTAAGACGGTATACTTGGGCCTGTTCAGTGAGACGATTACAGTAATATTGTGACAACTGTCAGCATACCTGTACTGTATCCTCGTCTTTGCCGTAATCTGGACTGCTAAGGACTGGGATCTTCTCATCCATCCAGCTGTTAGCCTCTGCTATCTCAGCATAGAACTGTCACAGAAACATTATCATCATTTTTGTTGATGATATGTAATTTGAAACCATGGATCAGTAAATTTCTAATATAGCAAGTATGACCATCATCAAATACAGAATACAAAACTATTTGATAAAAAATATAACATCATTCAAAACAATATTTATTACAAATAACCATGCTTTCTACTCTTAATTATGATATTGTGATGAACAAAGTTCAGATAGAATTCCTACCTTTTGAGATTCCAGGGAGTCCTGTAGGGCGACCTTGCGGACAGATGTCTGTTCCTTGAGCTGCTGAAGGTCACGGTGAAGTTCATCCAGTCGCATCTCGATGTCCTGACTGGCAAAGTGTTTGGACTGGACCATTCTCTGGGCATTACTAGCCACCTCATCAATTAGGGGCTCATGGGCAATGATCTCAGCCTCCAGTGCCTGAAAAGTACAGTGGATATTTAATGTGGTGACAAAATATTGATCTCAGCCTCCAGTGCCTGAAAAGTACAGTGGATATTTAATGTGGTGACAAAATATTGATCTCAGCCTCCAGCGCCTGAAAAGTACAGTGGATATTTAATGTGGTGACAAAATATTGATCTCAGCCTCCAGTGCCTGAAAAGTACAGTGGATATTTAATGTGGTGACAAAATATTGATCTCAGCCTCCAGCGCCTGAAAAGTACAGTGGATATTTAATGTGGTGACAAAATATTGATCTCAGCCTCCAGCGCCTGAAAAGTACAGTGGATATTTAATGTGGTGACATAATATTGATCTCAGCCTCCAGCGCCTGAAAAGTACAGTGGATATTTAATGTGGTGACATAATATTGATCTCAGCCTCCAGCGCCTGAAAAGTACAGTGGATATTTAATGTGGTGACATAATATTGATCTCAGCCTCCAGCGCCTGAAAAGTACAGTGGATATTTAATGTGGTGACAAAATATTAAATATCATATTTATACATGATGTCCACACATATCACTTTCAGTAAAATTACAAATGATATTTCATGGTACTGTAATAAGCGTTCCCCCTGACTTTGAGCCCCATGGCTTATTGCAGGATAATTATCTAAAATCACTCAATAATGTTTTCAATACTTCTCATTTATAACCATGCTGTTCAACTTTATTATAGATGAATACAAACCTGGTGTTTCTTCATGAGGTTCTGGACAGCTGGATAGGATGCTCCAAGGTCTGTAGAAGAAGCGACTGGCTTCTTATCTTGTATCCAAGACATCTCATCCTCTACATCACGGAAGAATTGGTACATCAACAGTGCCTCCTCCAAGTTATCACGCCTAATGGTGCAAGGCTCAGTAAGGGACTTATACCTGTCAGATAAAAAAAAGTTCTCAGTACATGGTTAAAGCCACTCGATATGAAAAAAAATTCAAATCTTTTTTAAACTGGTCCAGAGACGAGATACACTTACCTTTCTGATGTTTCTTTAGCCCTAGCCTGCAGGTCTTTGTTCATGAAATGTTTAGCCTCCTTAAACACTTGAGCAGCATCCTGGACATCAGTTACTTTCTCTCTATGGATTTGGATGTCCTGTTCCAACATCTGTTACAACAAACAATAAGAAAATACCAACCTGTCAATATAGTCATAATATAAACTCAAATTCAATAAAACTCTGACAAAATATGAAAAAAAAAAAAAATTTACAAAAAGTCCTCAAAAAGAACAAGGAGAATAAGACCAGGTGTTCCTTAAGAGTAGGTGTTTTCTGCTTTATCAACAACATCCACCAAGCAAAAAATTGGTCAATCCAAGTATGTTATGCAATGTTCTCAAATGAGAATAAGGTATACAACAACAGAACCAACAGGCAACAATATGGTATATGACTGACATACTGACCTTCACATAGGCACCTATCAGAAGACTTACACATGTGTATGGCAGATTATGACATTTCTATACCTAAAGACCTAATTCCAAGCTGTATAAAGGAAAGGTAAACAAAAGATACCAGAAAGCTATCAGGGAATGAAATGGAGCTGAATGTCTAATCAAAATTTTAATCTGTAAACTTTTGCAAAAGCCTGTTTGATACATGTCAAAAATAACCTGATAAAACCCCAAATTAATATCCAATTGTAAAATATTAGTCTAAGAAAAGGTCTGATCTAGACGCAACAGTATGGCCAGCAGAAATGAAATAATTCCTAATTTCTGGCTATAAATCACTTAAATTCAGTGAAAACTTTATTTTGTGATCTTACCTCTTCAGACTTATTTGTGAATACATGATTTCACCGACACTGAGCTAGATATAACTTTAAAATGTGAAAGATGAGTTATTTAAGATATGGAATCTTCAAGACAGCTATTGATTTCCAAATCAAAATGGATGCCATCCAGAGGCAATTAAGCACAAATGATAGTGAGGGATTTGAATTTGAAATTGACTCTCTTTGCATGCTAACATGAAAATAAATGCTGTACGAAATATAAGTGATTTTCAGTAAATGAAAACTTTATCTGAACAATTCGGAGATCAGATATGAAGGACAAATGAGACGAAACATCATATTATTTATGACCTTTGACACTGAAGACAATTTAGTGAAAGATGTCTGACCTGGTGTTTCTTGAGGAGGTTGTTGACAGAGGTGAGGTCCTTGCCATGGTCCTCTGACATGAGTTGTGATTCCACATCCTCCATCCATGACATGAGGTCATCCACCACACGATTGAACATCAGAGCCTATAACAAAAACAAATGGATGGTAACTTGACAAAAATTGTGAAACGTATTGAAATATTTATCAGCTATTTAGTATTGATGATTCAACTATTCCCCTACTTACCAAATCATTTGTAACTAAATATTGTAAACTCACAAAATTCTCATCTCAAATCTTTTGTAACTGGTCTCATCACAACTTTATCACAGCGTCTCAAAGCAATTGTGTTCCTTAGTACATATGCACCAGATTTGAGTCGATGTACTTTCGTATGACTGAATTAAATGACTGAAAGCAAAATTGAGTTCTTGGATGATACGTGACTTAAAGTTTCTATGACAAAGTTTTTTTCTGCCCTTCTACAGACTGTGCTTTGACAAATAAAATGATCTGGTTCATGTACCTGGTAAGCGTCTTGCAATCTATCCTTCTTTTCAGCACTAGCAGCCATGAGAGCCTCCCAGCTTAATTCCAGCTCATTCAGTCGTTTCTCTATATCTGTCTTGGCATAGTGATCCTCTTTCTCAAGCCCATTACCCTCCTAGGGACAACATTCAATACATATCAGCAATGATGATAAGGGAATCAAGAGCAAAAACAATGTTATCACAGTCACTCTCTTTCATCACAAGAGGCTTACAGTAAGGACAGTCACCTGAAGTATCACAGTCACTCTCTTTCATCACAAGAGGCTTACAGTAAGGACAGTCACCTGAAGTATCACAGTCACTCTCTTTCATCACAAGAGGCTTACAGTAAGGACAGTCACCTCAAGTATCACAGTCACTCTCTTTCATCACAAGAGGCTTACAGTAAGGACAGTCACCTGAAGTATCACAGTCACTCTCTTTCATCACAAGAGGCTTACAGTAAGGACAGTCACCTCAAGTAAAACAATGTTATCACAGTCACTCTCTTTCATCACAAGAGGCTTACAGTAAGGACAGTCACCTCAAGTATCACAGTCACTCTCTTTCATCACAAGAGGCTTACAGTAAGGACAGTCACCTGAAGTAAAACAATGTTATCACAGTCACTCTCTTTCATCACAAGAGGCTTACTGTAAGGACAGTCACCTGAAGTAAAACAATGTTATCACAGTCACTCTCTTTCATCACAAGAGGCTTACAGTAAGGACAATCACCTGAAGTAAAACAATGTTATCACAGTCACTCTCTTTCATCACAAGAGGCTTACAGTAAGGACAGTCACCTGAAGTATCACAGTCACTCTCTTTCATCACAAGAGGCTTACAGTAAGGACAGTCACCTCAAGTATCACAGTCACTCTCTTTCATCACAAGAGGCTTACAGTAAGGACAATCACCTGAAGTATCACAGTCACTCTCTTTCATCACAAGAGACTTACAGTAAGGACAGTCACATGAAGTATCACAGTCACTCTCTTTCATCACAAGAGACTTACAGTAAGGACAGTCACCTGAAGTATCACAGTCACTCTCTTTCATCACAAGAGGCTTACAGTAAGGACAGTCACCTGAAGTATCACAGTCACTCTCTTTCATCACAAGAGGCTTACAGTAAGGACAATCACCTGAAGTATCACAGTCACTCTCTTTCATCACAAGAGACTTACAGTAAGGACAGTCACCTGAAGTATCACAGTCACTCTCTTTCATCACAAGAGGCTTACAGTAAGGACAATCACCTGAAGTAAAACAATGTTATCACAGTCACTCTCTTTCATCACAAGAGGCTTACAGTAAGGACAGTCACCTCAAGTATCACAGTCACTCTCTTTCATCACAAGAGGCTTACAGTAAGGACAATCACCTGAAGTATCACAGTCACTCTCTTTCATCACAAGAGACTTACAGTAAGGACAGTCACATGAAGTATCACAGTCACTCTCTTTCATCACAAGAGACTTACAGTAAGGACAGTCACCTGAAGTATCACAGTCACTCTCTTTCATCACAAGAGGCTTACAGTAAGGACAGTCACCTGAAGTATCACAGTCACTCTCTTTCATCACAAGAGGCTTACAGTAAGGACAATCACCTGAAGTATCACAGTCACTCTCTTTCATCACAAGAGACTTACAGTAAGGACAGTCACCTGAAGTATCACAGTCACTCTCTTTCATCACAAGAGACTTACAGTAAGGACAGTCACCTGAAGTAAAACAATGTTATCACAGTCACTCTCTTTCATCACAAGAGGCTTACAGTAAGGACAGTCACCTGAAGTAAAACAATGTTATCACAGTCACTCTCTTTCATCACAAGAGACTTACAGTAAGGACAGTCACCTGAAGTATCACAGTCACTCTCTTTCATCACAAGAGGCTTACAGTAAGGACAGTCACCTGAAGTAAAACAATGTTATCACAGTCACTCTCTTTCATCACAAGAGGCTTACAGTAAGGACAGTCATCTGAAGTAAAACAATGTTATCACAGTCACTCTCTTTCATCACAAGAGACTTACAGTAAGGACAGTCACCTCAAGTAAAACAATGTTATCACAGTCACTCTCTTTCATCACAAGAGGCTTACAGTAAGGACAGTCACCTCAAGTATCACAGTCACTCTCTTTCATCACAAGAGGCTTACAGTAAGGACAGTCACCTCAAGTATCACAGTCACTCTCTTTCATCACAAGAGGCTTAAAGTAAGGACAGTCACCTGAAGTAAAACAATGTTATCACAGTCACTCTCTTTCATCACAAGAGGCTTACAGTAAGGACAATCACCTGAAGTAAAACAATGTTATCACAGTCACTCTCTTTCATCACAAGAGACTTACAGTAAGGACAGTCACATGAAGTATCACAGTCACTCTCTTTCATCACAAGAGACTTACAGTAAGGACAGTCACCTGAAGTATCACAGTCACTCTCTTTCATCACAAGAGGCTTACAGTAAGGACAGTCACCTGAAGTATCACAGTCACTCTCTTTCATCACAAGAGGCTTACAGTAAGGACAATCACCTGAAGTATCACAGTCACTCTCTTTCATCACAAGAGACTTACAGTAAGGACAGTCACCTGAAGTATCACAGTCACTCTCTTTCATCACAAGAGACTTACAGTAAGGACAGTCACCTGAAGTAAAACAATGTTATCACAGTCACTCTCTTTCATCACAAGAGGCTTACAGTAAGGACAGTCACCTGAAGTAAAACAATGTTATCACAGTCACTCTCTTTCATCACAAGAGACTTACAGTAAGGACAGTCACCTGAAGTATCACAGTCACTCTCTTTCATCACAAGAGGCTTACAGTAAGGACAGTCACCTGAAGTAAAACAATGTTATCACAGTCACTCTCTTTCATCACAAGAGGCTTACAGTAAGGACAGTCATCTGAAGTAAAACAATGTTATCACAGTCACTCTCTTTCATCACAAGAGACTTACAGTAAGGACAGTCACCTCAAGTAAAACAATGTTATCACAGTCACTCTCTTTCATCACAAGAGGCTTACAGTAAGGACAGTCACCTCAAGTATCACAGTCACTCTCTTTCATCACAAGAGGCTTACAGTAAGGACAGTCACCTGAAGTATCACAGTCACTCTCTTTCATCACAAGAGGCTTACAGTAAGGACAGTCACCTCAAGTATCACAGTCACTCTCTTTCATCACAAGAGGCTTACAGTAAGGACAGTCACCTCAAGTATCACAGTCACTCTCTTTCATCACAAGAGGCTTACAGTAAGGACAGTCACCTGAAGTATCACAGTCACTCTCTTTCATCACAAGAGGCTTACAGTAAGGACAGTCACCTCAAGTAAAACAATGTTATCACAGTCACTCTCTTTCATCACAAGAGGCTTACAGTAAGGACAGTCACCTCAAGTATCACAGTCACTCTCTTTCATCACAAGAGGATTACAGTAAGGACAGTCACCTGAAGTAAAACAATGTTATCACAGTCACTCTCTTTCATCACAAGAGGCTTACAGTAAGGACAGTCACCTGAAGTATCACAGTCACTCTCTTTCATCACAAGAGGATTACAGTAAGGACAGTCACCTGAAGTAAAACAATGTTATCACAGTCACTCTCTTTCATCACAAGAGACTTACAGTAAGGACAGTCACCTGAAGTATCACAGTCACTCTCTTTCATCACAAGAGGCTTACATTAAGGACAGTCACCTGAAGTAAAACAATGTTATCACTGTCACTCTCTTTCATCACAAGAGGCTTACATTAAGGACAGTCACCTGAAGTAAAACAATACTGAATATAAAACTCATAGGATAATTAGCTTTCAAGTGTCACAAAAAAGAAATTATGACATTGATGATAGTAAGGCAGTTTAAATACATCAATGCGTTCTCACTAATGCATTTTCAATGACAAATAAATAAAGATATGCTCAAAATGCAATTTTCCTTTAAAAACTATAGTGGACTTAAGGTGACCCCAAAACAAAATTTTGAAAATAAGATAATAGGATGTAAATCCTATATACTAGACTAAGATATATTTATACAACCAGGTTACCAATCATTTGATCCATGGTTTTCTATAATTACAGGTTTCATGTAAACTGTAATATTTAGATATGTACTAGGTCTCCTGAATCTACATAGGTATTGTTACTAATAAGTTAAAGGTATTTTCTTAAACAGACCATAAAAATAACAACCATGATTGTTAATTATGAAACATTATTATAAGTGTGTATGTGAATCCCTGTTAGCTGTTGTTTTCTTGTGATTCACACTTATTATAGAACAAAGTCACAAGGTGAAATACTGGTATAACAATGAAAATGATTCTCTGAATTAATTAACAAAAAATGTTGATTAGATAATAATAAAACTTTGAATAATTAATTACAGAAGCAGGAAATTGTACATGTACTTAATCAGGATTTAGTGGATGTTTCCTCAATCTGGCTGCAAATTGGAAGGACAAACACTAGTGCTATCCGACTACATTGCATATGTACAGTCACGTCCATACCTCCACAACAGCATCCACACGGTTCCTGTTGGCTGTGACTTCAGCCTCAAAGGCCTGATGCTTCTGGAGTTTGGCTTGTAGGTTGGTAGGATCTCGGTAGGACTCATCAAGGGCCACCTGAAGCTTCTCGTTGATCCAGTTAGACACCTAAATTATACAGTAAAACCACAACATAACATCCCCAAATACACCTCGTTGATCCAGTTAGACACCTAAATTATACAGTAAAACCACAACATAACATCCCCAAATACACCTCGTTGATCCAGTTAGACACCTAAATTATACAGTAAAACCACAACATAACATCCCCAAATACACCTCGTTGATCCAGTTAGACACCTAAATTATACAGTAAAACCACAACATAACATCCCCAAATACACCTCGTTGATCCAGTTAGACACCTAAATTATACAGTAAAACCACAACATAACATCCCCAAATACACCTAGACCTCAATGTTAATCTTAAATTTTCAATTGCTATCTTCACAACATCCTTTTAATTTTTTAATTTTATTGTACATCTCCTTAAATATTGAACCTTTATCAAATCTGCACAAAACATGTTTTATTTTCTTTAAATCAGCCGCTCTGAAATTTATTCTACTGAGTGTTATAACTTACTTCATACAAGTTCCTAAGGAAGAGTTGGTAGTTTTTAGAATCCTCCAGTTTCTGCCTTCTGGCAGCTGACTGGTCCATGAATCGCCTGGTACGCTCTACAGCAGCTTGACAGCGATCAACAATCTCATGTGTAGCATAATGGTTCTGCTCGTTCAAGCTTTGTGCAAACTGTTTTAGGTCCTCCAGTCTGTCCTGTTGGGCCTGTGTTGCCTTCTCAAAACCATCATGTTTCTTAATCAGCGCCTCAACACTGTATAATGTGTTCTGAAATCACAGAGGCCATTCTTCACTGTTAATATACACAAGTGTCTACTTTATTTGAGATTTTGACCATCAATAAACAAAATATTACCATTAGAAATGTAATGCAAAACATAATCAGGTGTACAATGAGTGATGTGTTTCAAAGCAAACTCTACAAAACCTGTTTCAGCATATAACTAGATACCTACACAGTCATACATTATAATACTTATAACTGTACAACCAGTAGTTCTATCTTACCCCAAGGTCATCATTGGACAGGAAAGCTTCCTTTGTAGAAATCCAGGACTCCGTTTGTTCTGCTGTCTCAATGAAAACCTATACAAACAACAATCAGGTAAGATTTCATTCAATGATTTTATCAAACAATCAGGTAAGATTTCATTCAATGATTTTATCAAACAATCAGGTAAGATTTCATTCAATGATTTTATCAAACAATCAGGTAAGATTTCATTCAATGATTTTATCAAACAATCAGGTAAGATTTCATTCAATGATTTTATCAAACAATCAGGTAAGATTTCATTCAATGATTTTATCAAACAATCAGGTAAGATTTCATTCAGTAATTTTTTCAAATGATCAGGTGTTGTCTGCTAATCTTTTAAAAACTAAAATTTTCCCAACAGATTACTGTTGGCATGTCCTCCTTATCATGGCTGTAATAATATTACATGCTATTATTTCTAAAATGGTTCTTAATTTCTCTGTCAATATGTTTGTTAGGTAGATCATCTTTTGTAAAATTCAACTGATGTAACTGCTTGTATGAAGGTATTGCAGTCTGAATGACCTTTGACCTTACCTGGAGGTCATGACACTGAGTGAGGACTACATTACGCTTGTCCCAAGCTCCATTCAGTGACAGTTTGGTGTGGTCAAGTTGACCGATGGTCTTCTGTATTTCCTCTGCAGCATAATGTTTGCTCTCAATTAACTTGTTACCATACTCTCTTACGGCAGCAAAGTGGGGTTTACGACCATCAATCTCCGCCTGGGAAACAAGTGATCAAACACTTATGTAAGAGCAAAAGTTGATCAATTTTTTACATATATTTAAACAGATTAGGAGTGTTACATCACAAATCTTTTTTGACATATATCACACTGGTGTAAAACAGTAAAACAATATCTTCATTTTTGATTAATACTTTTGAAAAGTTTTAGACACAAGCAGTTTGTTTCTGTTAACATCTGTTACAATTTCTGTTTATCTTCAAGTGTACAGCTTTCTAAGCTACCTTGCGTTCATGGTGCATCTGTAGTAAGCTCTCAGCCTCAGGAACGTCCTTGGCCAGGTCAGCAGCATTCATCCTAGTGGTCATATCACCTGACCAAGAGATCTGTAAAGATCAATATCAAGGTTAGATCAATGATAGAATGTATTGTTGACTGATATCATTCAATGACAAATCTCTAATCTGTAATCATTAAGTTTATCCAGCCTCCTCCCAAATCCCACCCCTCAATTCTTGACTTGTGTAGTTTCAGAGATCTGAGTGTGCTACTTAACACACCTAATGATAAAGAAATTAGTGATTTCTTTATCAGCATGGTTTGACTAAACCAAAATTTTAAACATTCTATTAATCTTTTGTTGTTTTGAAATTACACTCGAATTTAAAAATTGTTGTAGTAAGCAAATTCAAGGTGATGTAATGCCATGCTTTAAGCTGGGACATAATGCACTCTCTCTGCTGTTATAAAGTATGTATGTATACATATATGTGTAAAAAGAAATCGAAAAGTCAACTAACCAGCTCTCTAGCATCTGCAAGGAACTTCTGAAGTTTATAGGACTCCACGAGTCTTGATTTTCTGTAAATAAAAATTATGGATATTTTAAAACTAATTTCATTGATTTTTTAAAACTCAATAAAACTGTCAAGTGGCATGGTTAATCACTGCGTCACTATTTCATAAGAGCAGATACAGGACACTGTATCAAAATTTGTACTTTCTCAAAGTAAACTTGATCTTACTAAAGTCTGATCTATGCAATAGATTCTGGACAAGGTTTCCATTACAGCAGTATAGATAAAAGACTATAAGCTACAGTAGTTCTATAACCCCAGTAGATAATGCCTACCTCAGATCAGACAGGTCCTCTAATTTCTCCCAGTTATCTTGGGCCTCCTGTTGTTTAGACAGGATGGAATCTGCCATGTCAGGGTACTTGTTACAAAGCTGACGACACTGCAGCTCAATTCGCTGTTCAAGATCACAAACACAACAAATTAATTACTAGTATAACCAATGTTTCAAATGAATCCGTTAATAGCTCACACAGGGCAAACATTTAATTTGCAATTCTTTAGTCATCATTTGAATTGAAAAAAGAATTTCACAACCAAAAATACCTTAAATGAATGCAAGTACAAGTACGATACCTCGATTCTATCTTTAATTTAAAACATAATTTCGGCATGAACACTCTATAATACAACATATTTTTGACCGTTTACCTCAAGCTGGGTTTGTAGAGCTGTCATGTCACGTTCCATCTCCTCTTGTTTCCTCTGTAGGGCCTCCACCGCGTTCAAATCCTTACCCATGTCTTCACTGGAAAGCAGAACTGCCTTCTCGTTGATTCGGTCATTTATGTCATCAACATCACGGTTAAAGGCATGGATCTCTAGGGCTGCAGCCAACTTCTGTTTATAACTGTCCAGGTCACCTTGGATACCTTTCCATCTAGCAATATACATGTAGGATTGTGTCAATTTTTCCTTTCAATATTTTCAATGTCACAGAAATAAAATTGATGTATAAGCAGGATTTTAAAAATCTGTTACTTTTATTCCAAAATGCATAGTGAAGAATCTTGGTAACAACAATTCCTAATAGATACATTTGTCTAAAATGATTTTCCATGAAAAGTTATGACCCTGACACTGGAAAATTTAGAATATCAAACTTTGAGGTATTAATCGAAGCAATTATACCACAAGATCTGCCCCCATCCCCACCACATGGCTGAAAATGAATAGATCTAGTGATATCATGGACAAAGTAGTTAATTTTATAATGATAAAACACTCATCAGTGTAAAACCGATCATTATTTTGTTTATTTTATCTTGACTTACTTCTGGTTCATCTCGTCACGCCTTTGTTTAACAGCTATAGTGTCAGTTCGTCCCTGTGAGATAAGCTTGGTGGCCAGGTCATTGATGGCTTTGATACGACTATCATCTACTGTGATACCCTGTCAGGTATGAAAAGTGAAACATTAAAGAGAGGAGACAACTTGATAATACTCTGTTAGGCAGACAATACACTACAGAAGGGAGACAACTTGATATGTTTATTGTTTACAGTATCACTCTGTCAGGAAGACAATACATTACAGAGGGGAGACAACTTGATATGTTTATTGTTTATAGTAAACTCTGTCAGGAAGACGATACATAACAGAGGGGAGACAACTTGATATGTTTATTGTTTACAGTATCACTCTGTCAGGAAGACGATACATAACAGAGGGGAGACAACTTGATATGTTTATTGTTTATAGTAAACTCTGTCAGGAAGATGATACATACAGAGGGGAGACAACATTGTTTACAGACTCTGGGGAGATACAACTTGATATGTTTATTGTTTATAGTAAACTCTGTCAGGAAGATGATACATTACAGAGGGGAGACAACTTGATATGTTTATTGTTTACAGTATCACTCTGTCAGGAAGACGATACATAACAGAGGGGAGACAACTTGATATGTTTATTGTTTATAGTAAACTCTGTCAGGAAGATGATACATTACAGAGGGGAGACAACTTGATATGTTTATTGTTTATAGTAAACTCTGTCGTAAACTCTGTCAGGAAGACGATACATAACAGAGGGGAGAACTTGATATGTTTATTGTTTATTGATACATAACAGAGGGGAGACAACTTGATATGTTTATTGTTTATAGTAAACTCTGTCAGGAAGATGATACATTACAGACGGGAGACAACTTGATATGTTTATTGTTTTTATTGTCAGGAAGATGATACATTTATATGTTTAAACTCTGTCAGGAAGATGATACATTACAGAGGGGAGACAACTTGATATGTTTATTGTTTATAGTAAACTCTGTCAGGAAGATGATACATTACAGAGGGGAGACAACTTGATATGTTTATTGTTTATAGTAAACTCTGTCAGGAAGACGATACATTACAGAGGGGAGACAACTTGATATGTTTATTGTTTATAGTAAACTCTGTCAGGAAGACGATACATAACAGAGGGGAGACAACTTGATATGTTTATTGTTTATAGTAAACTCTGTCAGGAAGACGATACATAACAGAGGGGAGACAACTTGATATGTTTATTGTTTATAGTATAACAGAGGGGAGACAACTTGATATGTTTATTGTTTATAGTAAACTCTACAGAGGGGAAGACTTGATATGATACATAACAGAGGGGAGACAACTTGATATGTTTATTGTTTATAGTAAACTCTGTCAGGAAGACGATACATAACAGAGGGGAGACAACTTGATATGTTTATTGTTTATAGTAAACTCTGTCAGGAAGACGATACATTACAGAGGGGAGACAACTTGATATGTTTATTGTTTATAGTAAACTCTGTCAGGAAGATGATACATTACAGAGGGGAGACAACTTGATATGTTTATTGTTTACAGTATCACTCTGTCAGGAAGACGATACATAACAGAGGGGAGACAACTTGATATGTTTATTGTTTTAGTACTCTGTCAGGAAGACGATACATTACAACTTGATATGTTTATTGTTTATAGTAAACTCTGTCAGACAACTTGAAGACGATACATTACAGAGGGGAGACAACTTGATATGTTTATTGTTTATAGTAAACTCTGTCAGGAAGACGATACATTACAGAGGGGAGACAACTTGATATGTTTATTGTTTATAGTAAACTCTGTCAGGAAGACGATACATTAACAGAGGGGAGACAACTTGATATGTTTATTGTTTTAGTACGATACATTACAGAGGGGAGACAACTTGATATGTTTATTGTTTATAGTAAACTCTGTCAGGAAGACGATACATAACAGAGGGGAGACAACTTGATATGTTTATTGTTTATAGTAAACTCTGTCAGGAAGACGATACATTACAGAGGGGAGACAACTTGATATGTTTATTGTTTATAGTAAACTCTGTCAGGAAGACGATACATTACAGAGGGGAGACAACTTGATATGTTTATTGTTTATAGTAAACTCTGTCAGGAAGACGATACATTACAGAGGGGAGACAACTTGATATGTTTATTGTTTATAGTAAACTCTGTCAGGAAGACGATACATAACAGAGGGGAGACAACTTGATATGTTTATTGTTTATAGTAAACTCTGTCAGGAAGACGATACATTACAGAGGGGAGACAACTTGATATGTTTATTGTTTATAAACTCTGTCAGGAAGACGATACATAACAGAGGGGAGACAACTTGATATGTTTATTGTTTATAGTAAACTCTGTCAGGAAGACGATACATAACAGAGGGGAGACAACTTGATATGTTTATTGTTTATAGTAAACTCTGTCAGGAAGATGATACATTACAGAGGGGAGACAACTTGATATGTTTATTGTTGACAGTATCACTCTGTCAGGAAGACGATACATAACAGAGGGGAGACAACTTGATATGTTTATTGTTTACAGTATCACTCTGTCATGAAGATGATACATTACAGAGGGGAGACAACTTGATATGTTTATTGTTTACAGTATCACTCTGTCATGAAGATGATACATTACAGAGGGGAGACAACTTGATATGTTTATTGTTTATAGTAAACTCTGTCAGGAAGACGATACATTACAGAGGGGAGACAACTTGATATGTTTATTGTTTATAGTAAACTCTGTCAGGAAGACGATACATTACAGAGGATACATTACAGAGGGGAGACAACTTGATATGTTTATTGTTTATAGTAAACTCTGTCAGGAAGACGATACATAACAGAGGGGAGACAACTTGATATGTTTATTGTTTATAGTAAACTCTGTCAGGAAGACGATACATAACAGAGGGGAGACAACTTGATATGTTTATTGTTTATAGTAAACTCTGTCAGGAAGACGATACATAACAGAGGGGAGACAACTTGATATGTTTATTGTTTATAGTAAACTCTGTCAGGAAGACGATACATAACAGAGGGGAGACAACTTGATATGTTTATTGTTTATAGTAAACTCTGTATTGTTTACAGTATCACTCTGTCAGGAAGACGATACATTACAGAGGGGAGACAACTTGATATGTTTATTGTTTATAGTAAACTCTGTCAGGAAGACGATACATAACAGAGGGGAGACAACTTGATATGTTTATTGTTTATAGTAAACTCTGTCAGGAGATACATTACAGAGGGGAGACAACTTGATATGTTTATTGTTTATAGTAAACTCTGTCAGGAAGACGATACATTACAGAGGGGAGACAACTTGATATGTTTATTGTTTATAGTAAACTCTGTCAGGACTTGTGATACATTAGAGGGGATGACAACCTAAAGACTATCATCTACAATTAATTTTCTGTGAGGAACCATAAGATAACATTATTGTCAGGAACAATAACACATCAGACAGGGGAGACAACTCGATACATCTATCATAAGACTTTGAAAGGAACAGTAATAAAGTGATTATAGAAGAGAAACAACTTGATAGGACTAGCATCAACAAATAAACCCTATCAGGAGATTAGGTAACAAATCATGAAGTGGAGCTTACTTTATAGAATCCATTCTGTAATGATTGGACTAATCATAAGTAAAGTATCTATCCACTATGACAATGTCACTGTGCCATTTAGAAGTACCTTATCATCAATTCCATCAATCGCTTCTTTCTGACAGAGGATAATTCACAAGAAAACAACATGAGCTACATTACTAGGTTACACTTCAGTGCACATTTAAAACTGTACGTTCACTCATGTAGATTTCCAAACAAATGAATCAGTTTCAGAAGACAGAATTTTGTTTCTGATCTCAAACTTTTTTCTAACTACAAAGAACAGGTAAAAGAATATTTCCTATACCTAATTTTTAGATCATCATATGACTGGTTAAGATTTCTAAATCCTGGTTGTCAGGCAAGAAAGACAAGATTGGTCACTTTAATAGTCATCAGTGGAATAAAAGAAAAGTGCAAAAATACAGTGACAATATGGTGAAGCAACATTTCTACAGTTTTCTCCATCTCAAAAAAGTTTTTAATGTTTTCCCGACAAACTGAAAATGTCTATTCCTCAAATCTATAAATAAATGGCTACAAGTTTCAGATTGTGAAAAGGATTTTAGTGCACAAGGGAGAGAAAACATGTTGGGCTAGCACTGCTCTCTGTAGAGTCAGTGGGTGCAGTTTCAGTGTAATCCAGTTGACCAGCTGCTCACCCAGCTCTCCTGTAATGTGATAGTTCCTGTTGCTCATTGTACTAGTTAGGTAGTTTACTGAATTTTTTAAAAAAAAGCCAGCAACAGCAGAATACCTTCAAAGATTTTACCTTTGAGGATGGAACTGAACATTAAGTGATGTCGGTACAATAAAACAGTTATAGAGATGCTAAACGTGAACAAAAACAGCAGGTGACTTTAATCAATTCTGTGATGATGACTACAGATGCAATCAATTCTTACATATCTAAACATAACTACATACAGAAGCACTGAAGTACATAATGCAGGCATCAGTGTTGTTACAGTGCCACTTTCCCAAACCAATCCTTCTCAAACCCAATCACCTCTGCAAACTAAATGTCAATGTCATCTTTAGTATAAAAATAAAAACCTTCTCAATACCGATTCTTCTCTAAATACCAAACCCAATTTTGTGTCTGAAAATAAGTACTGATGCAGAGCTGGAAAGCCACAGTTTTGTTTCTAAATCATGGGTAGTTGTATAATGTTAATGTTTTCTATTAATGGAGTGCTGTTTTAAAAGACCACTTTTTATACTGATAAACAAAATCACATATTCATGAAATATATTGGCTGGTAACAATTTCAGACAAGCCGACAATCCTACCGGGGCTGGACCACATGCAATGTTACCTTACTTCCAATATCACAGCTCTTGTGACCTAAAGTTACATGGATATCACTGTTTTTTCAGTTTATCAGAGTGTTCTTACTCTGTAAAAACTTTTTCTGGATTCAGTTGGATATATGCAGTGTAAATGCTGAAATCAAATGGAATGGTTAAATGTAGTGTATAGAACGCAGATCAGTTCAATCATGTCAAGCTCCATTAACTTGCTTCACTTCTACAAACCGTCCCTAAACTGTCTAAATATACATGACACCTGTATGGTCAGTTTGGAGAAATTCAACTGTATTACAAATCTAAACAATTACGAAAGAAAATTTATCAACCACAGATATTGTTAATCATGGTCATATCATACAAAATTTTGTTTTAAGGAAACATACATTTCATCCACAACAATTTCACATATAGGATACCTCATTTCAATCCTCCAACATCACAAATAGGTACATAAGTATATACATGTATATATAACAGATAACATAGGAAGGTAAGGTACAGGGAATAATGGGACATGTTGTAACCAAGGAAACAGCAGTGAAGCTAAACAACAGGAGAAAGGAAGTTGTATTGAGGTACATAAATGTCATGCACATAAATAGGCCAGAGGTTTAGAATTCACTTTAATACATTTCCTACACTCTCAAATCTACAAAAGGCTTTATTTGATTTTTTAACTTTGCTAGTACAGTCCAAGGACAAATAGAAAATTAATACTACTTTAAATAAGTTGAAGAATCAGAAAGTTAAAGGAATGGGACATCTTTGGATAAAAACTGCACATCTTGTTTTGTGTCATCATTCACTATCAGCACATGTGTTGATATTACTTAGGCGTGATTATTGGATATTCTAAATACCACCATATTTTTCCCCTGAAGAAAACAGGTACGAAAATGCAAATGATACAAGTCAATAGAACTACGGCCATCTATATTATTTCACATCAGATGAACAGTGGGAAGTACTCTAAGATGACCGTTAATTATCAACAATCTCATTAAGTTTTCAATCTGACTTTATATCTAAGGCTACTGTCAAGGACAATGAGTGATGTACAGCTGCAATGGTAGAAGAGTGAGGAGGTGTAGGTGAGAGGAAGATGGGTGTTAACAAGAAAGTGCTTACACCAAGGGCATCCTGTAATACAAGGGTGTAGTTTGTGTTAGTATATATATCACACCATATATAGACATTTAATAGTCACCCATCTGATACTGTAATATAACAGTGTGTATCACACCATATATAGACATTTAATATTCACCCATCTGATACTGCAATATAACAGTATGTATCACACCATATATAGACATTTAATATTCACCCATCTGATACTGTAATATAACAGTATGTATCACACCATATATAGACATTTAATATTCACCCATCTGATACTGCAATATAACAGTATGTATCACACCATATATAGACATTTAATATTCACCCATCTGATACTGCAATATAACAGTATGTATCACACCATATATAGACATTTAATATTCACCCATCTGATACTGTAATATATAGCACTTTCTGACATAATTAATTAAACCAATTTAAGTTAAAGTTTAACAATCCTCAATTATGGCAACATATTGATAAGCAAGATTCGATTAAGAAATTTTTAAAAATATTTTGCAAGACTTCATAAATATCACACAAGTTTCAGGAGTATTCCCCCTCCCCGTTAGGTTCATCCTCCAGAAATCATGGTTAGAATTATCAACATTTAAAGCATTTCAAGATGTGTTAAGGGTTAAAAACATGCAAAAACAAAATTTCAAAACAAAGTTTCAGAATGTGCTGTAATAGATATAGACTGAGTATACATCACAAACCACCAGTAGAATTACAACAGATATATACACACCTATACCTGACATTTGGTTACAGTATTTATCATTGGTTAGAATGTATACAGTGGTTTGACAAATATGTCAGACTTACAGCTGATTCCAAGTCGTTTGCTTTCTTCTGAAGTTCACAGCAGTGTTCATAGTCACGGCCCAGATCTCCTGCATTTACCAGTGCCTCCTATCCCAAAACAAATAAAACAAGTCTTTCTAATACAAACCCAAAACATACATACACATTTAATCTATGGTGCCTCCTTTTGGAAACATTGAAATAGTCTACTGAAAATAACAATTAATGTATCATATAGTCTGAATTACAAAACCATTTCAATATTTATATACCTAAATTCTTTCACTGTAACTATTTTCCAAATGGAAAACATCTTCGGGTATTTGCAATAATTCCATTTTTTATTTTTCCTGAAGAGGAAAGAAGTCAATGAATTACTAGTTGTTAACCGTGATCAATATCGAAACTTGGATGACTTAGAAATGTGAGCCTCTTACCTTCTCCCTGATCCAGGTCTCAACCTTGTCCACCTGCTCATTAAACTTAAGGATGTCTTTGGCTTCTTCTAGACCTTTGCCACGGTTACTAGATCCCTGCAGTAGCTCATTCCATTTGGAGGAGAAGCGCTGCATACACTGACGAACCCTATCAGACTCTGGGTGCTTCCTGCGCACCAGTTCATTGCCTTTCTGTCACCAACAACATTTAATCATTAGCAAGAGTCCACAGTAATGTCCATGTATTAAAATGCCTTTCAGTAATCTCAGAAACAATTGCAATTAATCTGATAATTAGGGATTTTTTGGTAAGATTCAACATATTTCAAAACAATTTCAGAGACAATGAAAGGCTAACACAACGTTCATTAGGAGTTAATATCCTGATCATTTTTCATGTTTGGTGAACTGTAGCTCCAGGGCATATGGTTCTACTAAGTAAAAGTTAGTACCTTAAATCAAGACACCTACCTCTTTAATCTTCTCAACACCTTCTGTATTAGCTTTTATTTCAGCCTCAAATGCTTGATGTTTCTGTAACTTTTTCATCTTTTCATTTAAATCTGTCACATCCTGGAAATCATCCTCATAAGCAACTTTAAGTTTGTCATCTACCCAGCCTTCAAACTGAAAAAATTATATAAACAGACATTCAATATAAACAGGAAACTTCAAGAAAATTACAGAGAAGGAGAATATGGTATAGCCAAGAGTAATAATAGAATAGTCTTGTCTGACAATGAAATAGTTCGTTTTGGTAACAGCACATAGTCTTGTCTGACAATGAAATCATTCGTTTTGGTAACAGCACATAGTCTTGTCTGACAATGAAATAGTTCGTTTTGGTAACAGCACATAGTCTTGTTTGACAATGAAATAGTTCGTTTTGGTAACAGCACATAGTCTTGTTTGACAATGAAATAGTTCGTTTTGGTAACAGCACATAGTCTTGTGTGACAATGAAATCGTTCGTTTTGGTAACAGCACATAGTCTTGTCTGACAATGAAATCGTTCGTTTTGGTAACAGCACATAGTCTTGTCTGACAATGAAATAGTTCGTTTTGGTAACAGCACATAGTCTTGTCTGACAATGAAATAGTTCGTTTTGGTAACAACACATAGTCTTGTCTGACAATGAAATAGTTCGTTTTGGTAACAGCACATAGTCTTGTCTGACAATGAAATAGTTCGTTTTGGTAACAGCACATAGTCTTGTCTGACAATGAAATAGTTCGTTTTGGTAACAACACATAGTCTTGTTTGACAATGAAATAGTTCGTTTTGGTAACAGCACATAGTCTTGTCTGACAATGAAATAGTTTGTTTTGGTAACAGCACATAGTCTTGTCTGACAATGAAATAGTTCGTTTTGGTAACAGCACATAGTCTTGTCTGACAATGAAATAGTTCGTTTTGGTAACAGCACATAGTCTTGTGTGACTATGAGAATAGTTCGTTTTGGTAACAGTACCTACAGTCTTGTCTGACAATGAAATAACCCAATGCGACTTGGACCCTGTATCAACCTTCTGCCTTACCTCATGTACGTCTCTGTTGAACTGAGCATATAGGAGAGAATCATCCAGTTTCTGAGTCCGCACTCCACTCTGGTCTTTGATCCGAGTACGCCTAAATACATCAAAGACATCTTTATATCATCAAACTTGCTTCTTTCCATGCACGGACAAAGTTTTAATTCCTATATCAGTCATTGTCCAGAGTTTAACATTGAAAGCTGAACAAGAATATGACTTTACCTAGCAGTGACATTGTCCAGAGTTTAACATTGAAAGCTGAACAAGAATATGACTTTACCTAGCAGTGACATTGTCCAGAGTTTAACATTGAAAGCTGAACAAGAATATGACTTTACCTAGCAGTGACGTCGTCTAGAGTTTAACATTGAAAGCTGAACAAGAATATGACTTTACCTAGCAGTGACATTGTCCAGAGTTTAACATTGAAAGCTGAACAAGAATATGACTTTACCTAGCAGTGACGTCGTCCAGAGTTTAACATTGAAAGCTGAACAAGAATATGACTTTACCTAGCAGTGACATTGTCCAGAGTTTAACATTGAAAGCTGAACAAGAATATGACTTTACCTAGCGGTGACGTCGTCCAGAGTTTAACATTGAAAGCTGAACAAGAATATGACTTTACCTAGCAGTGACATTGTCCAGAGTTTAACATTGAAAGCTGAACAAGAATATGACTTTACCTAGCAGTGACGTCGTCCAGAGTGGCTTGGACTCGTGGAGCCTCAAAGTGTTGATTATTGATTAACTCAGTACCATGGTCCTTCAATGCTTCTAACTGAAAGTGGGAAAAATGTATTTTTTAAGGAATCACAAAAGAATCCTTGCTAAAACTAAGATCAAATACATCATTGTCTTCATATGGCACAAACAATCTGCCCAATGCTTATGAGTGATAATTTAACATCAAACCTTGTCTTCCTGGACCTCCAGCACTTTATCAAAGGCTTCATGTCGACGAATGAAGGTTTCCACCTGGTCAATGTCAGTACCGAAGTCAGCACTAGAGAGGTAAGCCTGGTAATGAGGAAACAACAATTACTGAAAATTACCTGTTTTCATGTTACTTACACATCTACATCAGGTGAAGCAGTTCAATAACTCTAATTTACTCAGTGGTTGATAAAGTTCTGTAGGATCAGACAAAAATCTATCAGCTCTGGTAGCTTGCTGTCTTTGTGAGAAATATTGACATTGATTTTCAATTTCAGAATTTTTAACTTCTTTATCACATGAAAATTCTACATGCTGCATTCAGAACCAGAGTGCTATATCCTAACTTAATATCTAATTATCATAGTTAAGTGATTTATAAATAATAAATTGAAAAAAAAAACACAAATCTGTACAACAATCAGATCATTAACAAACTGAAAAAATTCAGGGGATAGGACAATGATGTAGCTTCTTGAACACCAATAGATATTGATGGGCTTATTTGAATATGGTATTCCACCAAAGAAGCAAGCATTTCATTGTCAGCTCTAGGTCATCCACAACACACTAAGCGACAATTGCCCCTTTTAAATTCCACGATTGTTGATATTGTGTAATCATATACATGACACAAGAGCCTTCGAGTATAGTGCTCGACCAACCTCCTGTGAAGAACTGATGGTATCAAGCTGCTGAGCATCGCGCAGGAAAGTATGGAGGTCATACAGTTTGTCATGATAATCCTTCTGGCCATCCCATGTCTTCTTCAGTCGCTCTCGTGTATCTTCAACCTGCTTTACCTTTGTTTCAATCTATCAACAAACATTAAAATTAAACAACTATAAAAATTTGCGAAAAATTGTGAGTTAAACTTAAAAAAAAAAATATTGTGTAATCAAATTTTCTTTTACATCATTTCTTTTTTGCTTATTGTGAACTGGTTGTCTTTCTTGTCAATTTGTCTCTTTGTATTTCAACAACACAATCAAAGCTAAGACTTAACACATACAACTACACAATCAACGCTAAGACTTAACACATACAACTACACAATCATAGCTAAGACTTAACACATACAACTACACAATCAAAGCTAAGACTTAACACATACATCATCTTTGGCATAGTGATCAGCCTGAATCATGGCCTCGCCAGTCTGGCAGATAGTTGTGAATGTTTCATCTCTAGCATCTATCTCAGCCTTGAGTTCCTCATGTCGACTCTTCAGCATGTCAACACTGTGTACGTCTCGCACTGGCTTCTCTGCTAACATCTCATGCTCTGTCTCATGGACCCAGCTCATAAGGTCACGTACCTACAAGTCAGTATTTAGGTGATGGCATTTAAACATGTTTTTCTGTGTAAAACTGTTAAGGTTCTGATTACCGAGTTCAATTTTTCCTTCTTTTCAAAGATGAATACAACTTTTCTGAATAAATACCTTGAAAATGATAATAACAAAGATATTCATGAGAAAAATATATCCTTTATGCTTCAAGCTTTTGGTAAAACCACAAATATCTTGACTAATTTGCTGTACACTTACTGGTGGTGATTTTGTCACCAATTTAACAATGTTTAATAACGAGATGAATTTTGCACCAGACACATTAACATTTGCAGAAAAGTGATCTTATAAAGTGATCCAAATAAAGTGATCTAATAAAATGATCTAATAAAGTGATCCAAATAAAGTGATCCAAATAAAGTGATCTTATAAAGTGATCCAAATAAAGTGATCTTATAAAGTGATCTAATAAAGTGATCCAAATAAAGTGATCTTATAAAGTGATCCAAATAAAGTGATCTTATAAAGTGATCTTATAAAGTGATCCAATAAAGTGATCCAATAAAGTAAGTGATCTTATAAATTGATCCAATATAGTGATCCAAATAAAGTGATCTTATAAAGTGATCCAATAAAATGATCCAATAAAGTAATCTTATAAAGTGATCCAATAAAGTGATCTTATAAAGTGATCCAATAAAATGATCCAATAAAGTGATCTTATAAAGTGATCCAAATCAATTGATCCAAATAAAGTGATCCAAATAAAGTGATCTTATAAAGTGATCCAATAAAGTGATCTTATAAAGTGATCCAATAAAGTGATCTTATAAAGTGATCCAATAAAGTGATCCAATAAAGTGATCTAATAAAGTGATCCAATAAAGTGATCTTATAAAGTGATCCAATAAAGTGATCCAATAGAGTGATCTTATAAAGTGATCTTATAAAGTGATCTAATAAAGTGATCTTATAAAGTGATCCAATAAAGTGATCCAAATAAAGTGATCTAATAAAGTGATCTTATAAAGTGATCCAATAAAGTGATCTTATAAAGTGATCCAATAAAGTGATCCAAATAAAGTGATCCAATAAAGTGATCTTATAAAGTGATCCAATAAAGTGATCCAATAAAGTGATCCAAATAAAGTGATCTTATAAAGTGATCCAATAAAGTGATCCAATAAAGTGATCCAATAAAGTGATCTTATAAAGTGATCCAATAAAGTGATCCAAATAAAGTGATCCAATAAAGTGATCTTATAAAGTGATCCAATAAAGTGATCCAATAAAGTGATCCAAACAAAGGAAACTAGTGTAAGTGAACCACAGAGTTACATTACAATTATTAATAGTGTAAGCTGAACGTATTTAAAGCACTAACATCTGCAGAGAAGCGATGAAGTTCAGAGGCAGCCAGCAATTCTTCCTTCCTCTGTGCAGCACGGTCCTGGAGAACACCCCAGTTCTCCACCACAGTAGCCTGGAGCTGTTCTATCTCTGCAGCGTTGTCCCCCGGGTATGTCTGCTGGAGGCGGTCCGAATCCTCAATCAATACTTGAAGCTGTAGGACCAAAATCAAACCACCAATCAAAACACAGCAGTAATATAGCTTACTGCTATTTATCTTTCAATGTGTCTCAGGAAAAAATTCATTCAATTCAATAATATTACCTATATTTTGCATAGAAAATTCATCTAAGGTTTTTCCCCAATAACTTACCTGAGCTTCCAGTGCAATGAGTTCATTTTCAAATCCTTCATGCTTCTTGAGGTAACTTTGTGTAGCAAATAAATCTCTGCCAAGGTCATCTGGTATACTTGAGTACTTTTCCTGTAAAAACAATCATTACACTTGTTCAGTGATACACTTTGAAAATTTTTTTTGTCACCATTTTGTTTTAAAAATATGGTTTCTAAGAATTCATAACACTGAATTACTGTCTTCCATCCAGTTTACAAACTGTGATGATCAGGTTATCTGTCTGCTGAAAATGTGATGATCAGGTTATCTGTCTACTGAAAATGTGATGATCAGGTTATCTGTCTACTGAAAATGTGATGATCAGGTTATCTGTCTACTGAAAATGTGATGATCAGGTTATCTGTCTACTGAAAATATGATGATCAGGTTATCTGTCTACTGAAAATATGATGATCAGGTTATCTGTCTACTGAAAATGTGATGATCAGGTTATCTGTCTACTGAAAATGTGATGATCAGGTTATCTGTCTACTGAAAATGTGATGATCAGGTTATCTGTCTACTGAAAATATGATGATAAGGTTATCTGTCTACTGAAAATGTGATGATCAGGTTATCTGTCTACTGAAAATGTGATGATCAGGTTATCTGTCTACTGAAAATGTGATGATCAGGTTATCTGTCTACTGAAAATGTGATGATCAGGTTATCTGTCTACTGAAAATGTGATGATCAGGTTATCTGTCTACTGAAAATGTGATGATCAGGTTATCTGTCTACTGAAAATGTGATGATCAGGTTATCTGTCTACTGAAAATGTGATGATCAGGTTATCTGTCTACTGAAAATATGATGATCAGGTTATCTGTCTACTGAAAATGTGATGATCAGGTTATCTGTCTACTGAAAATGTGATGATCAGGTTATCTGTCTACTGAAAATGTGATGATCAGGTTATCTGTCTACTGAAAATGTGATGATCAGGTTATCTGTCTGCTGAAAATATGATGATCAGGTTATCTGTCTACTGAAAATATGACGATCAGGTTATCTGTCTACTGAAAATGTGATGATTGTTTATTTAGTTTTTAAACAATCTGATTATCACGTAACTTCATGGTTCAGTTGATAGTACCTGTATCCTGGCTAGGGCCTCCTCCACATCCCTATTAAATCTGTGGATTTCTCCAGCCCCATACAATTTCTGGTCCCTTGCCTCAATCTGCTCCAACAGATTGTTCCAGGATTCCCTGTGAAACACAATAAGTTGAATATTCAGCTTATCATCATCATAACAATGTTATATTCCTTATAAACCTGATTTATGGTACAGTACTGTACCCAAGCTCCAGATCTGTTCTCAACTGTCTTCTATAAGATACTGTATTACCCCAGAGTTACAGGTGTACTCACCTGATTTGGTCTTATCTCTCTCCCCTACCTGTTTTCTATAAGATACTGTATTACCCCAGAGTTACAGGTGTACTCACCTGAGTTGGTCCTGTCTCTCCCCTACCTATCTTCTATAAGATACTGTATTACCCCAGAGTTACAGGTGTACTCACCTGATTTGGTCTTATCTCTCTCCCCTACCTGTTTTCTATAAGATACTGTATTACCCCAGAGTTACAGGTGTACTCACCTGAGTTGGTCCTGTCTCTCCCCTACCTATCTTCTATAAGATACTGTATTACCCCAGAGTTACAGGTGTACTTACCTGAGTTGGTCCTGTCTCTCCCCTACCTATCTTCTATAAGATACTGTATTACCCCAGAGTTACAGGTGTACTCACCTGAGTTGGTCCTGTCTCTCCCCTACCTATCTTCTATAAGATACTGTATTACCCCAGAGTTACAGGTGTACTTACCTGAGTTGGTCCTGTCTCTCCCCTACCTATCTTCTATAAGATACTGTATTACCCCAGAGTTACAGGTGTACTCACCTGAGTTGGTCCTGTCTCTCCCCTACCTATCTTCTATAAGATACTGTATTACCCCAGAGTTACAGGTGTACTCACCTGAGTTGGTCCTGTCTCTCCCCTACCTATCTTCTATAAGATACTGTATTACCCCAGAGTTACAGGTGTACTCACCTGATTTGGTCTTATCTCTCTCCCCTACCTGTTTTCTATAAGATACTGTATTACCCCAGAGTTACAGGTGTACTCACCTGAGTTGGTCCTGTCTCTCCCCTACCTATCTTCTATAAGATACTGTATTACCCCAGAGTTACAGGTGTACTCACCTGATTTGGTCTTATCTCTCTCCCCTACCTGTTTTCTATAAGATACTGTATTACCCCAGAGTTACAGGTGTACTCACCTGAGTTGGTCCTGTCTCTCCCCTACCTATCTTCTATAAGATACTGTATTACCCCAGAGTTACAGGTGTACTCACCTGATTTGGTCTTATCTCTCTCCCCTACCTGTTTTCTATAAGATACTGTATTACCCCAGAGTTACAGGTGTACTCACCTGATTTGGTCTTATCTCTCTCCCCTACCTGTTTTCTATAAGATACTGTATTACCCCAGAGTTACAGGTGTACTCACCTGAGTTGGTCCTGTCTCTCCCCTACCTATCTTCTATAAGATACTGTATTACCCCAGAGTTACAGGTGTACTCACCTGATTTGGTCTTATCTCTCTCCCCTACCTGTTTTCTATAAGATACTGTATTACCCCAGAGTTACAGGTGTACTCACCTGAGTTGGTCCTGTCTCTCCCCTACCTATCTTCTATAAGATACTGTATTACCCCAGAGTTACAGGTGTACTCACCTGATTTGGTCTTATCTCTCTCCCCTACCTGTTTTCTATAAGATACTGTATTACCCCAGAGTTACAGGTGTACTTACCTGAGTTGGTCCTGTCTCTCTTCCACCTGTTCCCTGTATGGGACATTGTCTTCCAGCAGAGTTTTTGCCAGTCTTTCACACTGATTAAATCTCTCACCACCTGCTTCTACAGATCTCTTGAACTCATCAAATCTGTTCCTTAAAATCTGAAAGATTGCATAGATTAGATATTTCTGGGTAGCACATTACTGAAAACTGTACTTCCAAAACAAATGTTGACGGATTTCTTATCAGAACGTAATATGAAATCTTCTTTCCTACTCATCTATAAAACTTCTATAATACTTACAACCAGATACTCATAATCCTGGCCGTACTCCTCTGAAGAAGCAATCTGCATTTGCTGTTCAATCCAGCCCTCGAGATCACCACTCTCACGGGTGTAAGCATGCATCCATTTAGACATTTCCAGGTTCTGGGTTCGCTCAGCCGCAAGACGCTTCAACTTATTCAGAAAATCTTGTAAATTGTCCTAAAATCATCAGATCTTATGATTATTACAAAATAAAAAGAAAATTTCTCCGCAATACATTAGTATTCGTGGTTATCATTAATACAGAGAGTGATAAAGAGTTACTAATGAATGTCCCATAATAAAGTCATCAATGATCACAGTTCAACAGTCAGAAAATAAGAACAAGATACATAATCTACGAGGTCAGTAAGAAAAGTCTGTTACTGAATCACCATTACAAGTTTATCAAACAGAATCTTTTACTTATAGACAATGCCACCTGAAGCTTCCAAAGGCAGAATTCTCTAGACTACTAACAAAAGGAGGTATCCTAAAGAGCACAGTGAACTAAAATCACAAGTAAATTGATCATTATTCCACGTGAATTTATGAGATGAAAAAGCTAGAAAGAAAAGCAACTGAGAAGAAATCAGAAGGTGTACATAAAAGGCCAGATATCACTAAACTTCAATATCTGATGGCACCGTATGATGAGGTAGTCAGTTGTTTTAGTTCAAAATCAATTAAATCTTTTAAACAGGGATAGAAATATCATTGGAATAAAGAACTGACTTGAAGAGTTAGCGCTATCTGTTGAAAAGGTTTGCTGTAAGTGTGGTGTAGACAGGGATGGGTTGAGATAGTAAGTGTGGTGTAGACAGGGATGGGTTGAGATAGTAAGTGTGGTGTAGACAGGGAAGTTGAGATACAGCATGTGTTTTGTAGGCAAGAGGTTGAAAAACAGCAAAGCAACGATCTAAGGCAATCTAACTACATAAGCACAGCATTCTGTATACAAGGACAGAATTAAATTTTGTATGCTTGAAATCATTTTGCTGATCCAAATATAATCAGGAATGTGAACAACAATTTGTAAAATGAAAGAGAATAAGTTTCAGAGTTGAAGCATTGTGTGTAATTTGTATAAAACTGTTAACCTTGTGGCGAACGGATTCAATCATCTATAAAAATACAAGTATACAGTTCAATTAAAGCTTATTTTCATGGTGGAGATTCTAAATAGCTTACTGGAAAATTTCAGGAGAAATGAGCATTTTGACCAATAAATTAGAAGTATACCTGTAAAGATCACCAATTTGAAAGTCTTTAAAAAATCTTGAGGTTGCTTGATTATGTTACTTAAATTCAAACATGTTTGTGTTTAAACATGCTCTGTTATCAACTCAGTCTAAGAACCAACACATTTAAATTAAAATTGGAGTGAAAACCTTTTTTTTTCTTTTTCAAAAATCTCCAGTTTGGGACCAACATCTTTAACTAGAGATTGCTAAATTGAGTGAAATAAGTTGGAGGCTCCTGTACAAAACAGGAGACCTGACAGGTAAGACGGGACACCTGACAGGTAAGACAGAACACCCGACAGGCAAGACGGGACACCTGACAGGTAAGACAAGACACCTGACAGGTAAGTGTTAGTCAAGAACATCACATACTACTGATGATTTTGAAATTTAAAAAGGTTTATGATCAATGTGTGCATCTAGTTCTCTACAATATCTAATAGTGATTATAAATCTAGTGAAGAGTACTGAAGAAAGATGCGAGATGAAAACACTAGTAAAAGCTTACAACATTCAGCTTAATCTAATATCTTCAGATCTATCCAATGTCACTGCACATGAATATTTTTTTTTCAAAACAGTCACATTGTTAAAAAATTAATAGTAAATAATTGAATTTAACCATTTTTGTCCAATGTCTGTTAAAAAGGGACCAATTCAGTGTCCACCCAATGTGCATCTCATCAGCTGGACACATGAGCTTTTGTCCAGAGTTGTGTCTTGGTTACCACAATACTTTGGTTTCTGTACTCTATGGATTTTGCATTAAACATTGGTAACCTTCTGGACACATTTATCTGGATACTTTGCAATAATTAGTTTCCGTCTAGAATGAAACAATGTTGAGCAGGATAGTTTGCTTTCTATAGGTAGAGATATCTATAATGCTTGACATCTTGGTTTACATCTAAAGTGGTCTTGTTTAAAGGAGAATCCGATCTAAATTGGCATGTATTTAGACTTGACTTGTAAAAACACCATTGTTATAGAACATGGTTAAACACCATTGTTACAGAACATGGTTAAACACCATTGTTACAGAACATGGTTAAACACCATTGTTACAGAAGATAGTTAAACACCATTGTTATAGAACATGGTTAAACACCATTGTTACAGAACATGGTTAAACACCATTGTTATAGAACATGGTTAAACACCATTGTTATAGAACATGGTTAAACACCATCGTTACAGAACATGGTTAAACACCATTGTTACAGAACATGGTTAAACACCATTGTTATAGAACATGGTTAAACACCATCGTTACAGAACATGGTTAAACACCATTGTTACAGAACATGGTTAAACACCATTGTTATAGAACATGGTTAAACACCATTGTTACAGAACATGGTTAAACACCATTGTTATAGAACATGGTTAAACACCATTGTTACAGAACATGGTTAAACACCATTGTTATAGAACATGGTTAAACACCATTGTTACAGAACATGGTTAAACACCATTGTTATAGAACATGGTTAAACACCATTGTTACAGTACATGGTTAAACACTATTGTTACAGTACATGGTTAAACACCATTGTCACAGTACATGGTTAAATACTTTTGTTACAGAACATGATATTGAACCTTGCATATCTCTTTGTTTCTGTGTAGACAAGAAAACATCCTCTCTACTGCTTATTTTGTGCAGTAAAAGTATCAAGTCCTAGTTATGTGATCATTCAGCCGTGTCAGTATATCATGCCAATTTCATTTCATGTAAAAAGTTTTCAGGACAACAAGAGTACAAGTTAAAAAGTTCTAAACCCAAGAAATACTCTGCTGATGGAATGATGATCAAATCCTGTCGGAACTAATGGTCAATTATCCTGGGTTTTTCTTACTTAAACTTGACTTTTATGGATAGGTCAACCATACATAATCAGGATTCTAATGATAAACCAAGTTATGTAAATCTCAGTTAGTGCCTGAATGGTTTACTGACCTGGGCTTTCCTCAGACTGGATGGATCCTGACAGCCGATTTTGAAGATCCTTTGGGCCTCCTTACTAAGCCCAGTTACTATTCCCTGATATGTCTGAATGTCAGTCTCCAGCACCTGTCAATGGTAACAGTCATAATCTCTACTCATATTGATTAATATTATGAAATAGAATGAAGCTAATACTGGGTAATTCAGTATACAACAAACACATTTTCATGAATGTCTCTTTTGTCCTTAAGATTTCTTATTAGTTGTAGCAAGGCTAGATGAATATCAGTTGACCTGCATTACCATAAATTAAAATAGTTTTCAGCACCATTCTCTGGTTTTCTCATCCAATCTCTGAATCTCCTCTAATTTGACCTCTAAGAATTAAATGGTCTGTTTATACACACCTTGACCAAAGGATGCCCCAGATGAAATCTGATTGAAATTCTCTTTTATTATATAATCAGCTTGTTTTCCAATGAATTTTCCCCATGTAATAATTTTGTATATGTCTATTAATGTAACCCTGAAGAATTTTTCACTGACTATGGCAGTCAGAAATTGATTGTGATGTCATAATAAGGATAATGGCATTTTGTCATCAATTGAAAATGGCACAATAAATGGCTGCCTTGGTTTGATTTTGTCATCATATTTTACTTAAAAACATGTCAAAATGTAACTTTTAAGATTTATGTGATAAAAATTATTGACATCTGAAATTTGTTTTCATTTCATATAAGATGAAAACTCCTTTATAAAGATCCTATATATTTGTATATTTATACAAGTTTTTCTCACAATAACCAATTGTATTCACCCAGGATTAATACTATACAAACATGGACATACCTTGTTCTTGGTGAGCATTTTGTCTGCTGCTGATTCATCTTTACCATAATCTGTGCTTGTAACTAATACCATCTTGTCATTGATCCAGTTTTCCACCTCAGCAACCTCTGACAGGTACTGTACAAAACAACACTTGACAGCATTAAGATATATACACATAGGTACAGTAAATTCACCAATTTATCACACAGAATATATATCATCTTTGTTTTCAGATTTATATTGCAATGTATGCTAAATAACTGTTGAATGTACTTTCTGGATTATTGATGAAATCTTGGGATGTGAGATCACTGTAATGTAAACTGACCCTCTGGATTTGGACGGAGAGATCAAGGTTCTTCTTGCGTATTTTGGACTTGTTGGCAAGATCATCCCTGGAGAGTTGTAGTTCTTGACACTTGTCTTTGATCTGTTTGGCACTGGAGTGGCGCTCCTCTATCAGTTTCTCTCCAGTACCTATCACCTTCTCAACAATGGGGTGATGGCCAAGTATCTCCAGGTCAAGTTTCTACAAAGCAGAAGTGGACCAATAAGTCAATGAAATAATTTAATGATTTATATTAATGAAATGTTTGTCTGTCATGAGTGGATGAATATATTTCTTAACAGAATAATAGTAAATTAAGTCTTTGTGAAGTAATAAAAAAGATAAAAATACAAATGACAGTCTTGTATTTTTGTGATTTCTTTAATTTCTTTGTACATTTAATTTCTGATTCTTTGACATGACCTCCACATTATTTATAATTTTTGATATTGTAACTTATTAAAACCTACAAGTTTAGTTTCAAGATTTCTTACATTCAAATGGTATTTGAAAAATAGAAAACTTTAAACCAATCAAATGTTTCAACTTTTGTTGCCTTTTAAAATGTACCTGATGCTTTTTGTGTAGATTCTGAGCATCTACCAGACTTTTGCCATATTCTGTTGAGGAGGCAGCAGGCAGGTGCTCTTTAATCCAGATAATCTCTTCATCTGCATCAAACTTGAACTGATAGAAGTGAAGTGAGTCCTGTAGAAGGTCTTTCCTTCTCTCCACTTCAGGCCTCAATTTTCCAAATCTTAATTTGAAAAGCAGAAGCAAGTAAGCAGTGTATACAGTTGATTGGAACAATTTGTATTATATCTAACTGAACGGTAAAACATTTTTTCTCGTGAATAGCTCAGGGAAAAATGACACTTTTGATCTATAAAAGAACGTTAAAATTCATTAAACTTGAGAAGTCAGTTATGTTGACAAAACATTTATTTTGGGTATTTGTATATCTTAAAATATCTATATTGGATAACTGAACCTTTAAGATAAAAAACATCCTTCAGAAAATAAGTGTAAAATAGCAATACACTTAAATAACAATGACATTATACTCAACAGAACCTTGCAGCTCATAGTAAATGTCCCTAAAACCTATTAGTGACAGTGAAATCAGACATAAGTATTATGGCAGACAAATCCTGTTATCAAAAACCCCATTATTTTGAGGCTTTGGATTAATTAAATAAAGTACTCACCTTGTGTTAAAGACATCAACAGCCTTTCGGATTCCTGCACTGTCAAAATGGCCAGAGTCTGCCAGAGCCTGGCCCTGAGAAATGATGTCATTGATGGTTGCATCTAACAAGACCAAATCACTCTCTAGATTCTGGTGCTTTTTCAACAATGCTTTGACCCCTCGGAGGTCAGACCCGACATCGGGGTTGGCCACTGACTTTTCCATCTCATCCAGTTTCCCCTACACAAAGTTGAAAAAGTCAAAATGAAAAAATATTGCTTCAGTTTAAGTCAGTTGATTCATCCATTTCAAATATAACTGACATTTACTTTCAATATTCCATTATATTCACACTACAAGAGAAAACATTTAAAATGAACATGAAGATACAAATTTCAATACACTTCCTTTCAAAAAGACTTTCCCAGCTATAGATATCAAAGCCAACATTTATAGAAATCAAGATCTTAGATTACCAAAGTTAAATCAAAATATAAATTATCTGCAATATTTTAGTTTAAATGATTACATTGATTACAAAATGGCTGGCTAACATATGGACGCTTAGTTATACACACCATAGGTCACTGAGGGAAACTGGCTGGCTAACATATGGACGCTTAGTTATATACACCATAGGTCACTGAGGGAAAATGGCTGGCTAACATATGGACGCTTAGTTATATATACCATAGGTCACTGAGGGAAAATGGCTGGCTAACATATGGACGCTTAGTTATACACACCATAGGTCACTGAGGGAAAATGGCTGGCAAACATATGGACGCTTAGTTATATATACCATAGGTCACTGAGGGAAAATGGCTGGCTAACATATGGACGCTTAGTTATATATACCATAGGTCACTGAGGGAAAATGGCTGGCTAACATATGGACGCTTAGTTATACACACCATAGGTCACTGAGGGAAACTGGCTGGCTAACATATGGACGCTTAGTTATATACACCATAGGTCACTGAGGGAAAATGGCTGGCTAACATATGGACGCTTAGTTATATACACCATAGGTCACTGAGGGTAAATGGCTGGCTAACATATGGACGCTTAGTTATATACACCAAAGGTCACTGAGGGAAAATGGCTGGCTAACATATGGACGCTTAGTTATATACACCATAGGTCACTGAGGGAAAATGGCTGGCTAACATATGGACGCTTAGTTATATATACCATAGGTCACTGAGGGAAAATGGCTGGCTAACATATGGACGCTTAGTTATACACACCATAGGTCACTGAGGGAAAATGGCTGGCTAACATATGGACGCTTAGTTATACATACCATAGGTCACTGAGGGAAAATGGCTGGCTAACATATGGACGCTTAGTTATATACACCATAGGTCACTGAGGGGAAAATGGCTGGCTAACATATGGACGCTTAGTTATATACACCATAGGTCACTGAGGGAAAATGGCTGGCTAACATATGGATGCTTAGTTATATATACCATAGGTCACTGAGGGAAAATGGCCCCAGAAAATCAACTGCAGTCGATTGGGCAATGCCTGGTGACAGGCAGAGCCATGGAGACAAAAAACCGCCATCATCATCATCATTGTGGGAAAACCTACCTGAGCATCAGCTAATGCTTTATTGAGAGCATACTGCTGAGCTGCCTGACGGAGTTTGTTCCCTTTGTCAGTAGACTTTTCCGAGAGGTCCCTCCACTGAGTGTTAAGGCCATCAAGAATGACTTTGATCTCAGGAGAAGCAGGATGTCTATCTTGTATCATGACATTTCCTTGCTGAAGACAACCACAATATACTGATTTAGTGAATGGATGGAGAAAATTGTGTATATTGGTTGATTCAGAAATCAGTATGAAGCAAACACTGGTGAATCTGGTTTGACACCATGATTTGTATGACAGACCTTTGACATTATTATTAGAACTGCTATTAGTCTTGTATTTTTTTCAACATTAATTTGATAAGATAACTTATCAATGAAAAAGGTTTATCCTTACATTTATTTTACTAATATTACATACAAGAGTCACTTGATTTTCCATAGAACACTAAAAGCCCACCTCATTTAGAGACTTGAGTCCTTCACTGTTGGCCTTAAGTTCTGCCTCAAAAGCCTGGTGTTTCTTCAGTTTTTCCTGGAGGTTGGTGAGATCCCTGTAAGACTCATCTGTAGCTGTTTTGTACTTTTCCTTCATCCAAGATGACAGCTACAAAAGCAGTAAATTGCTAGTATATATGATTATCTATAACTACCCGACAATTTTCAAATAATCCAATTACACAGCCTGTAAGTGTAATATTCTATATGAGTCAATATGAGCAGGTACCACTACATTATTCAATGGTATACTAGTACAATCTTTTTATGTAGGAACTTTTCAGTGTAAACATAGTTGGGGTAGAAACAGTAATGATCTGTTCCCAATTTAACATGTATGATGTCAGAGAGAAAGAATATAGAGGTAGACATTTCTACAAATAAACATCTAGAAAGTCTCACCTCTGCAGCATCTCTCTTGAATTCCTGAGATCCTTGGGCAGCTAGCAGTGCATTATGACGTTCCAAAGCCTTCTCTTTTACCTTCTGCCGTCTCTCTAATGCCTGATTTCGGCGGTTATCAATGCTGAAAGGTGGTAGTATCAGAAATATTTTCTTCAGTTAACTCCATAGTCATGACCACATTTAAAATCTCCATACATCACAATTACAATGTAACAATCACCACACTAAAGTAATGCCAAGAGAGCATTTCCTCAATCTATCTTGGTGAGACTGAGAGAATGTTTTCAGTGCAGGTGCACTATGAGGCAAACTGAACCCAAATCCAAAGATTATTAACTTACTGATCCTTGTCAGGGTGGTCCTCTGCAATCAGCTTACTGGCAAGATCATCAAGGGCTTTCACCTTCTCATCTTGGGCCTGTAGTGTACTTTCAAAATCTTCATGTCGTTTGAATAGTGACTCTACATCATCCACTGTGCTCTGTTAACATACCAATAATACACTGAGTAACTCACATAAAACGACATTGTCAACTGTGATCTTTAACATACCGATAAACTGACAGAGTAATACACATAAAACCACAGATCTGTACACTGAAATGTATGGATATCTGATCTGATTATCTGGGGTAAAATTATTACACTTCCAAGTTCCAGCTTACCCCAAGGTCAGCAAACTCCAGAAATTTTTCGTGGCTGCTTGTCACTGAGTCAATGTTGTCTGCATCTTTGTTAAAAGCCTGTAGATATACAAGATGATAAAACTCTAGATAACAGCACATAACTTCACTTCGTCACAATACCTCATCTCCATAACCAAAATTGTTTATCTTAAATTTCATAAATAAATCATAAATATCAATGTTTATTCTCTCTCTCACCTGTAATTGTAGATAGGAAATTAAATACTTCAAACATATTTTACAGTAAAACCAAAGGCATAAGTATTTTAATCACAAATCCATATATCAGCAAAACATCCCTTAACTGTAAGTCCCAGGTATCAACACATCACCTACCTGTAAGTCCCAGGTATTAACACACCACTTACCTGTAAGTCCCAGGTATCAACACACCACTTACCTGTAAGTCCCAGATATCAACACATCACCTACCTGTAAGTCCCAGGTATCAACACATCACCTACCTGTAAGTCCCAGGTATCAACACACCACTTACATGCAAGTCCCATGTATCAACATATCACTTACCTGTAAGTCCAAGGTATTAACACATCACCTACCTGTAAGTCCCAGGTATCAACAAATCACTTACCTATGAGTCCCATGTATCAACATATCACTTACATGTATGTCCCAGGTATCAACACATCACCTACCTGTAAGTCTCAGGTATCAACACACCACTTACATGCAAGTCCAAGGTATCAACACACCACTTACCTGTAAGTCCCAGGTATCAACACATCACCTACATGTAAGTCCCAGGTATCAACACATCACCTACCTGTAAGTCCCAGGTATCAACACATCACCTACCTGTAAGTCCCAGGCATCAACACACCACTTACATGCAAGTCCCATGTATCAACATATCACTTACCTGTAAGTCCCAGGTATCAACACATCACCTACCTGTAAGTCCCAGGTATCAACACATCACTTACCTGTGAGTCCCATGTATCAACATATCACTTACATGTATGTCCCAGGTATCAACACATCACCTACCTGTAAGTCTCAGGTATCAACACATCACTTACCTGTAAGTCCCAGGTATCAACACAGCACTTACCTGTGAGTCCCAGGTATCAACACATCACCTACCTGTAAGTCCCAGGTATCAACACATCACTTACCTGTATGTCCCAGGTATCAACACATCACCTACCTGTAAGTCCCAGGTATCAACACAGCACTTACCTGTAAGTCCCAGGTATCAACACATCACCTACCTGTAAATCCCAGGTATCAACACATCACTTACCTGTATGTCCCAGGTATCAACACAGCACTTACCTGTAAGTCCCATGTATCAACACAGCATTACTAACTTGTAAATTCCTGGTATTGATGGAACATTACTTACCTGTAAATCGTAGGCATCCTGTAACTGATTTTTTCTGTGGAGCCACATTTCATTAATGGCTTTTTCATCCTCCTCCAATTTCCCTAATTTATCTTTTACATCTGATGCATCAGGTGTTTTCTGCAGAACACTGCATGCTAGAGCCTTCACTTGCTCAAATCTAAACAACACAAACATGCAGCTATTTTCAAAACGAAGCAAAGTATTTGTTCTTATGCCTTTATATTTTGAAAGAGAAACTTTAAAATGTGCACTTTTCTTGTAAAATTGCCTGTTTTGAAGCCTTCATTCCACCATATATTATGGAATTGTTTCATTACCTAGTAAATATTTGAGAATTTTTGTATACCTACTTACATTTTGTACACCTGTCTGTTTCTAGGTCATGTGTACCTACTTACATTTTGTACACCGGTCTGTTTCTAGGTCATGTGTACCTACTTACATTTTGTACACCTGCCTGTTTCTAGGTCATGTGTACCTACTTACATTTTGTACACCTGTCTGTTTCTAGGTCATGTGTACCTACTTGGGTTTTGTGTACCTGTCTGTTTCCAGGTCATGTGTACCTACTTGAGTTTGTGTACCTGTCTGTTTCTAGGTCAGGTTAACCTACTTGGTTTTGTGTACCTGTCTGTATCTAGGTCATGTGTACCTACTTGGGTTTTGTGTACCTGTCTGTTTCCAGGTCATGTGTACCTACTTGAGTTTGTGTACCTGTCTGTTTCTAGGTCAGGTTAACCTACTTGGTTTTGTGTACCTGTCTGTATCTAGGTCATGTGTACCTACATGGGTTTTGTGTACCTGTCTGTTTCTAGGTCATGTATACCTACTTGGGTTTTGTGTACCTGTCTGTTTCTAGGTCATGTGTACCTACTTCAGTTTTGTGTACCTGTCTGTTTCTAGGTCATGTGTACCTACTTAGGTTTGTGGGCCTCGATGTCATCAGCTAGTTCATCGTGGTCCTTTATCATGTTCTCTGCCATCTGTACATCCCGAGGCATGTCATTGGTGGCCAACTTGGACTTCATCGTACTACTCCATGCCATCTATCAGATACAACCATTAAGTTATACCAGCCATCTATCAGATACAACCATTAAGGTATACCAGCCATCTATCAGATACAACCATTAAGTTATACCAGTCATCTATCAGACACAACCATTAAGTTATACCAGCCATCTATCAGATACAACCATTAAGTTATACCTGCCATCTATCAGATACAACCATTAAGTTATACCAAGGATACCAAAATCATATGTCAAAAATGTACCTGATATGTCAGACCCACATGGATGCCTCCTGCTGGTAACTAAGTAGAAGTTTGGATCTTTTTACATTTATTGGCTTTGTTAAAAGACAATTTCTGCCTGCAGGATCTATTGCAAAGAATCTGAAGAGTTTTGTCTGCAGATTTATATTTTACTCCTCACTATAGTTTGGCAAGGCTTTCCAATATTAATCTTAAAGTTTTGTAAAAAATTATTTTTTATAGTTCAAATGGCAATAATTCTGGAAAATATAAACTGACCGACCAGAACCAAACTTGACCTACATATCATTATCATGCAACGTATAACAAATTTCAATTCTATATCTGTTCCATTTGAAGAATAAATAAGTAAGTAAACACCAATAGGACAGAATGATGGACAAAGGAAACACTTAAAGTTCCCATTACTGAAACAGTGTGACAAAAAAACAAATATTTGCAAAAGGTATTAAACTCTGTCAGCACTAACCAAATCCTTTGCATCATCGTTGAACTGCTGGCGTTCTTGTGAATCTCCCAGTTTGTCCTTCTTGGCATCAGCCTTTCTCTATAATGATAAGGAAACATTCTAAAAGCTGACAAAAGTAAAATCAACTTAAATGTCTGGTTTCATCTCTCAAGTTGAAATTATTAAGTATATATAAAATCCTTTCAGAAAAATATTCCAAATGTAGTTACCATTAATAATTAAAATGATATATTCTAGTGAACTGTAATAGATATAAAGGTAAGGTAATATATAGTAGAATTGTACTCTAACAACCAAGGTCAGGTAATATATAGTAGAATTGTACCCTAGTAACCAAGGTCAGGTAATATATAGTAATATTGTACTCTAATAACCAAGGTCAGGTAATATATAGTAATATTGTACTCTAACAACCAAGGTCAGGTAAGATATAGGAGAATTGTACCCTAGTAACCAAGGTCAGGTAAGATATAGGAGAATTGTACCTTAGTAACCAAGGTCAGGTAAGATATAGGAGAATTATACCCTAGTAACCAAGGTCAGGTAATATATAGGAGAATTGTACCCTAGTAACCAAGGTCAGGTAATATATAGTAATATTGTACTCTAACAACCAAGGTCAGGTAAGATATAGTAATATTGTACTCTAACAACCAAGGTCAGGTAATATATAGTAATATTGTACTCTAACAACCAAGGTCAGGTAAGATATATGAGAATTGTACCCTAGTAACCAAGGTCAGGTAATATATAGTAATATTGTACTCTAACAACCAAGGTCAGGTAAGATATAGTAATATTGTACGGTAACAACCAAGGTCAGGTAATATATAGTAATATTGTACTCTAACAACCAAGGTCAGGTAAGATATAGGAGAATTGTAACCTAGTAACCAAGGTCAGGTAATATATAGTAATATTGTACTCTAACAACCAAGGTCAGGTAAGATATAGTAATATTGTACGGTAACAACCAAGGTCAGGTAATATATAGTAATATTGTACTCTAACAACCAAGGTCAGGTAAGATATAGGAGAATTGTAACCTAGTAACCAAGGTCAGGTAATATATAGTAATATTGTACTCTAACAACCAAGGTCAGGGAAAATATAGGAAAATTGTACCCTAGTAACCAAGGTCAGGTAATATATAGTAAAATTGTACCCTAGTAACCAAGGTCAGGTAATATATAGTAGAATTGTACCCTAGTAACCAAGGTCAGGTAATATATAGGAGCATTGTACCCTAGTAACTAAGGTCAGGTAAGATATAGGAGAATTGTACCTTAGTAACCAAGGTCAGGGAAGATATAGGAGAATTGTACCCTAGTAACCAAGGTAAGGTAAGATATAGGAGAATTGTACCTTAGTAACCAAGGTCAGGGAAGATATAGGAGAATTGTACCCTAGTAACCAAGGTCAGGTGATATATATGAGAATTGTACCCTAGTAACCAAGGTCAGGTAAGATATAGGAGAATTGTACCCTAGTAACCAAGGTCAGGTAAGATATAGGAGAAGTGTACCCTAGTAACCAAGGTCAGGTAAGGTATATGAGAATTGTACCCTAGTAACCAAGGTCAGGTGATATATATGACAATTGTACCCTAGTAACCAAGGTCAGGTAATATATAGTAATATTGTACTCTAACAACCAAGGTCAGGGAAGATATAGGAAAATTGTACCCTAGTAACCAAGGTCAGGTAATATATAGTACAATTGTACCCTAGTAATCAAGGTCAGGTAATATATAGTAGAATTGTACCCTAGTAACCAAGGTCAGGTAATATATAGGAGCATTGTACCCTAGTAACTAAGGTCAGGTAAGATATAGGAGAATTGTACCTTAGTAACCAAGGTCAGGGAAGATATAGGAAAATTGTACCCTAGTAACCAAGGTCAGGTAAGATATAGGAGAATTGTACCTTAGTAACCAAGGTCAGGGAAGATATAGGAGAATTGTACCCTAGTAACCAAGGTCAGGTGATATATATGAGAATTGTACCCTAGTAACCAAGGTCAGGTAAGATATAGGAGAATTGTACCCTAGTAACCAAGGTCAGGTAAGATATAGGAGAAGTGTACCCTAGTAACCAAGGTCAGGTAAGGTATATGAGAATTGTACCCTAGTAACCAAGGTCAGGTGATATATATGAGAATTGTACCCTAGTAACCAAGGTCAGGTAATATATGGTAGAATTGTACTCTAACAACCAAGGTCAGGTAAGATATAGGAGAATTGTACCCTAGTAACCAAGGTCAGGTAATATATAGTAGAATTGTACCCTAGTTACCAAGGTCAGGTAAGAAAGACGAGAATTGTACCCTAGTTACCAAGGTCAGGTAAGATATAGGAGAATTGTACCCTAGTAACCAAGGTCAGGGAAGATATAGCAGAATTGTACCCTAGTAACCAAGGTCAGGTAATATATAGCAGAATTGTACCCTAGTAACCAAGGTCAGGTAAGATATAGGAGAATTGTACCCTAGTAACCAAGGTCAGGTAAGGTATATGAGAATTGTACCCTAGTAACCAAGGTCAGGTAGGGTTTATGAGAATTGTAACCTAGTAACCAAGGTCAGGTAAGGTATATGAGAATTGTACCCTAGTAACCAAGGTCAGGGAAGATATAGGAGAATTGTACCCTAGTAACCAAGGTCAGGTAAGATATAGGAGAATTGTACCTTAGTAACCAAGGTCAGGGAAGATATAGGAGAATTGTACCCTAGTAACCAAGGTCAGGTGATATATATGAGAATTGTACCCTAGTAACCAAGGTCAGGTAAGATATAGGAGAATTGTACCCTAGTAACCAAGGTCAGGTAAGATATAGGAGAAGTGTACCCTAGTAACCAAGGTCAGGTAAGGTATATGAGAATTGTACCCTAGTAACCAAGGTCAGGTGATATATATGAGAATTGTACCCTAGTAACCAAGGTCAGGTAAGAAAGACGAGAATTGTACCCTAGTAACCAAGGTCAGGTAAGATCTAGGAGAATTGTACCCTAGTAACCAAGGTCAGGGAAGATATAGCAGAATTGTACCCTAGTAACCAAGGTCAGGTAATATATAGCAGAATTGTACCCTAGTAACCAAGGTCAGGTAAGATATAGGAGAATTGTACCCTAGTATCCAAGGTCAGGTAAGGTATATGAGAATTGTACCCTAGTAACCAAGGTCAGGTAGGGTTTATGAGAATTGTACCCTAGTAACCAAGGTCAGGTAAGGTATATGAGAATTGTACCCTAGTAACCAAGGTCATGTAAGGTATATGAGAATTGTACCCTAGTAACCAAGGTCAGGTAAGGTATATGATAATTGTACCCTAGTAACCAAGGTCAGGTAAGGTATATGAGAATTGTACCCTAGTAACCAAGGTCAGGTAAGGTATATGAGAATTGTACCCTAGTAACCAAGGTCAGGTAAGGTATATGAGAATTGTACCCTAGTAACCAAGGTCAGGTAAGGTATATGAGAATTGTACCCTAGTAACCAAGGTCAGGTAAGGTATATGAGAATTGTAACCTAGTAACCAAGGTCAGGTAAGGTATATGAGAATTGTACCCTAGTAACCAAGGTCAGGTAAGGTATATGAGAATTGTACCCTAGTAACCAAGGTCAGGTAAGGTATATGAGAATTGTACCCTAGTAACTAGGATTAGATATATTCAGTGTACTCTATTAGTACCTTTAAGTTATCCCACATATTCTGCAGCTCTTTCTGTCTCTGATCCACATATTCCCGTTCATCAGGGTAGGATGCTCTCACTCTGTACAAGAACAATTGTTGGCACGTTCAAACTTTCATTGATCAGGACATAATTTAATTTTGAATTGCTATTTTCATGTGAAAATTTTTATTTGCAGTTTAAAGTCACAATTTTTGGCGGATATTGTCAGCAATCTTCTTCATCTTATGACAATACTTATACTGACATCACATTTACCCTGAACATTCACATAGAGAGTCACATATACAACTTCTACAGTATGTCACACCAATGGTCACATGACAACCAACTGTCATGTGACCACCAACGGTTTTGTTACATCCAAAGGTCATATTTGACCTATGGTGAGCTGTTGTTGATGCTGGTCTTTGATGTCATCACCTGTATCATAGTCACTTAAAACTCAGAAGACATATTCTTAGGAGTCTGAGTCTGTTTAACTTACGAGTCTGCTAGGTAATTCATTCTGTTCATTTTCTCCTCTACAGGAACCAGCTCTCGTTCCAAATTCTGAAAAAAATGAATGAAAATGTATAAGTTATTCTTAAGAAAAAAAACAAGTCTCATAAAAAACAATCTCATAATGATAATATACAACATTTCTATAGCGCCCCTGTATAATTACACAAGTTACTCTAAGGCACTTTACAGTGCATGTAAAATTTCAGTCATGGTATCAAAAATACATTATACATCTACATATATGTATGATATGCTGATCATTGTGTCCGCATGATCATCAGAAAAAACAACACATGTATGTACATGTAGCAAAAATGACTATTCTAAGAAAAAGCACACCTGAACAGATGATTCTTAACATCCTTTTTGAAAGTGGCGAGTGTTGTTGATTTCCTGGTTTGTGATGGTAGGTTATTCCACAGTGTGGCGGCAACCTTCCCAAAACATCGGTCACCACAAGTCGCAGTACGCGACGTAGGCACACATAGCAGGGACTTAGCCTCTGACCGTAATGAACGTGAAGGCTGGTAGGGAGTGACGAGCTCTGTTAGATAACCAGGAGCTGTTCCATCGAGTGTTTTGTAGGTGTGCATCAGAATCTTGTACTGTGACCTATAATGCACAGGAACCAATGTAAGGAATGTAGCACGGGTGTAATGTGCTCACGTTTTCTAGTACTGGAAACCAGACGCGCAGCAGTGTTCTGGACTTTCTGCAGGCGCCTAGTTGCCGAGTCAGAGATTCCATATAAAAGAGTGTTCCCATAGACCAGGCGAGAAGTCACAAGTGAATGTAACAGTGTCTTGCATGCATCCGTAGTGATGATCTGCCGAATACGTTCAATATTCCAAAGTTGGTAGTATCAGCTTTTTGCAATAGCATTCACCTGCTTTTCCATGGTCATTGAACTGTCGAAGTGTACACCAAGGTTTTTAACAAGCTGCCTTAATGGTTTTTGTACCAACTTTAAGCTGGATATCATGTGTCTGTTGATGCTTTGGTGCAAAAAACAATGAGTTCCGTCTTATCCTGGTTAAGCTTAAGCATATTGGCGTTCATCCAAGCACTGATGTCTACTAGGCAGGCCTCCAAGTTATGTGCGATGGTATCCCAGTTATGTTGGGGTCTGATAACCATATATATCTATGTATCGTCTGCATAACAATGATAAAGCAGGTTATGGCGACGACAGATCTCACCAATTGGTTTCAAGTACAGACAGTACTTGCGAGGTCCAAGCACCGACCCTTGTGGAACACCAAATCAAAGGATATTTTCATCAGATGTGGCTGATCCTATGGCCACACACTGTCGTCTGTCACTCAGATAGGAATGAATCCAGCATAAAGAGTCCCCCGTGATTCCATGAGAGTAATCTGGACGTTTAAAAAGTATGCCGTGATCAATGACGTCAAATGCTGCGGATAGGTCCAGCATGACAAGCACTACTCTCCACTTGTTGTCTAAGGCTGCAACAATATCGTGTATGCGAAGGAGTGCTGTTTCAGTGGAGTATCTTGTGCGGTAGGATGACTGCAGGTTGTCATGCAGACTGTTTGCCTGCAGATGCAACTCTAAACGCATGGAAACAATATTCTCAAGTATCTTGGATAAGAATGGAAGATTTGATACGGGAGGGTAGTTTTTTAATTCCTCCCTGTTCAGCACAGACCTCTTAATTAATGGTTTGACATTAGCCTTCTTGAACCACAATGGTACCTTTGACTCTGCCAATGATTTGTTCATGATCGAGGTAATCAAAGGAAGCAATGCTTCAAGACATTGCTTCAATAGACATGTGGGAAGTGGATCCAGCTGACAGGACTTAAATGGCCAGTTGGTAATAATCTTGCGCACCTCGTCCTCAGATGTTGGTGTGAGCTGTGTCAATGCTTCGCCATCAAATGGTGTGTCAGCTGTCATTACAAGGTTATCACTGTTGACTAGACTGTTCACACAAGGTTATCACTGTTGGCTAGACTGTTCACACAAGGTTATCACTGTTGGCTAGACTGTTCACACAAGGTTATCACTGTTGGCTAGACTGTTCACACAAGGTTATCACTGTTGGCTAGACTGTTCACAGTACCAATGTTCATTCTGATAGTCGTGATTTTGTTCAAGAAATAATTACTGAACTTGTTAGACAAGATCTTTTCAGATGAACAGCTTGGTAGGATTGTATCGCCATTCTGGCCCATAAGGTTATTGGTTAGCCTGAAAAGTTGCTCATGGTCGGTACCACATTCTGCTATCTTATCTGAATAGTAATTCTTCTTTGCTTGAACAAGCAGCAACCTGACTAACTGACATTGATCCTTGTAGATCTGTTGGTGGATTGACTGTTTTGTCTCTCTGCTTTTCTTCGCTTCTGTTTTGCCTCGTGTGATTCCTCTGTATACCAGGGAGAATTTGGTCTTTCAGTAATCACCTTGGTCTACAGCGGTACATGTTTGTCAGTCAGGTCATTTATACCAGAATTGAATGCTTCGACAAGATTGTCTACCCCACCAGCAGTTGATTGTAGTGTGAGAGGATTTGATGTCTCTACTGAAATCTGTTACGGAAACTGACCTCCTTTCTAATGCAACCTAGTTTACCACAACTAAGTGTAATATGCACAGAAAGGTGATCACCAGATGGGTTCCCCTCGACATCACTAAGGCACAGGTCTACGACAGATGGTACTCCATAAATGATCAAGCTATTTTCTCTTGTGATGACAACATCGAGTGGATGGCCATGGACATGTGTAGCTTTAGTCACATGTTGCACCAAACCATGAGCGTCTAGTAGCTCAGAGAACTGACGAGAATCCGCATTCATTGGGTTGTCAAGATGGAAATTGAGATCACCTGTTATAATGATCTCCTGTGGTATTACAACCTGATGGTCCAAGTAGTTAGACGACTCTTCAAAAAACACAGCGTTTCAGAAACCGTTTCGTTTAGACGGAGGGAGTCAGTATATTATACATGATCTGATTTGTACATTGCCAGCACAAATCGAGCAACTGAGGTACTCAAAGTGGGTGAAGTCATCATCTTGACTAGAAGCATGTTGTCTAACATTTAAATTTTTCTTAAATAGCTCCCCCACACCACCTCCACATTTCTCCTGGCAGGAATTTTGTATAATGTCATATCCTGGTGGAACAAGCTCCGCTAACACCTGGTTGTCAATGTTTGTTCCAGGTCTCCGTTAATGCCAAATATCAATGTCCTGAGATGTAATGAAATCAATGATAGAGAGTGCCTTATTCTTTACCAAGCCACAGTTCAGGGACATAAGATTCAGTGGAACAACCCATTTTGAAGGAGTGACCGTCATTGGCCTAATGATGCTATGCAGTTTTGGCGTTCTATACAGATGATTTTGTATTGTGTACTGATGTATCGTTTCTAGACTGCACTGGTGTTTCAGCCCCTCTGCCTGCCTTAGTCCCTCGCCTTGGTCGACATATTTTGGGCCAATTAATCCTCTGAAGAGCCTTCAGACAATCTTGACCAATAGCATTACTCACTGGTCGAATTACCAGGAGATCAGATCTGCTATATCTAAACATGTTGCACTGTGGTGTCCAATTGCATAGATCTTAAACTCATTCATGTATTTACACCCGCCACTAACTTTCTCATTTCATCAATTTCACGATAAGGTGTTCATTAAAAAAGTCAGCCTCGGGTATATTCCTGAAATGGGGATTTAATCATAATATTGACTGTAAAGACAAGATAAGTCTCCATTGATCTTGATGATCTTGATTTACTTTTAATATTAAACGGGTCAAATGTAACAAATTCTATTCAAGGAATGTCAAAACTTAATGAAGCAGAATCACACGTACTTGTAATCAACAGAATCACAGGTACTTGTAATCAACAGAATCACAGGTACTTGTTATCAACAGAATTACACGTACTTATAATCAACAGAATCACAGGTACTTGTTATCAACAGAATCACAGGTACTTGTTATCAACAGAATCACAGGTACTTGTAATCAACAGAATCACAGGTACTTGTAATCAACAGAATCACAGGTACTTGTATCAACAGAATCACAGGTAATCAACAGAATCACAGGTACTTGTAATCAACAGAATCACAGGTACTTGTAATCAGGTACTTGTAATCGACAGAATCACAAGTACTTGTAATCGAGAGAATCACAGGTACTTGTAATCGAGAGAATCACAGGTACTTGTAATCAACAGAATCACAGGTACTTGTAATCAACAGAATCACAGGTACTTGTAATCAACAGAATCACAGGTACTTGTAATCAACAGAATCACAGGTACTTGTTATCAACAGAATCACAGGTACTTGTAATCAACAGAATCACAGGTACTTGTAATCAACAGAATTACACGTACTTGTAATCAACAGAATCACAGGTACTTGTAATCAACAGAATCACAGGTACTTGTAATCAACAGAATCACAGGTACTTGTAATCAACAGAATCACAGGTACTTGTAATCAACAGAATTACACGTACTTGTAATCAACAGAATCACAGGTACTTGTAATCAACAGAATCACAGGTACTTGTAATCAACAGAATCACAGGTACTTGTAATCAACAGAATCACAGGTACTTGTAATCAACAGAATCACAGGTACTTGTAATCAACAGAATCACAGGTACTTGTAATCAACAGAATTACAGGTACTTGTAATCGAGAGAATCACAGGTACTTGTAATCAACAGAATCACAGGTACTTGTAATCAACAGAATCACAGGTACTTGTAATCAACAGAATCACAGGTACTTGTAATCAACAGAATCACAGGTACTTGTAATCAACAGAATCACAGGTACTTGTAATCAACAGAATCACAGGTACTTGTAATCAACAGAATCACAGGTACTTGTAATCAACAGAATCACAGGTACTTGTAATCAACAGAATCACAGGTACTTGTAATCAACAGAATCACAGGTAGAATCACAGGTACTTGTAATCAACAGAATCACAGGTACTTGTAATCAACAGAATCACAGGTACTTGTAATCAACAGAATCACAGGTACTTGTATC